TTTTTTTTTTTTTTTTTTACACAATTGATTTATTTGAGTGGGTACTGTAAGAGTATGAATTTGTTTTATCAGCAAATACTTTATACAACTAAATTGTATTTCTATTTATTTTCAGCATTCAAATTGAGCAAAGACAATCTATATGTATTTGACTTCCGATTATTGTATTTAAAAGAACTTTGAAACAATAAAAACACTGAGTGACACTTGACACTTCACTTGTCTGGACTTTCAGGAATATAGTTAGTGGTGTTTTCCAAAGTAACCCTTACTTAAGCCTTAAATCCTCATAGTTCAGCATGGAGACGCACCTTTGACATGCTGATTTCAGGAACTGTGACAAAAACTACAGGAAGGATAAGGGATTGTGTGTATGTGTGTGTTTTATACTAACTGGCTGGCCAAAATGTATTTATTTATGTCAGGTTTCCTAAACTTATTTTTATCGGGTTCAGCGGTTCTTGTCCACGACCACGTCAAAAATATTTTTGTCAAATGGGAACTTTAACTTGTTAATAAAGGTTGTTGTAGTTTTATTTTTTTCTGGTGTGATTCAAAATAAATAAATAAAATCAATAAAAGATGAAGGAAGGTATTGATTATGAGTCTTTGTTTTTATATTGCGTGATAAAACAGTACAACTTCTGTAAACAATTACACTATCATGTAGTATTTTGCTGTTATCTCGTATGTGTGGAGTGAATGCTTCAGTAAACACGGAGCTGCAGGAGAGTTTGATTAAATAAAGGTGTGTGTGGCTGTAAATGCAGATCACATGCGCTCCTTCAACCCTGACGATATACTCTGTTTTATGAACAATAATCTCTATGGGTTACACACACACACACACACACACATACAGTAACACACGAGTGATGATGTAGGCGGTGCGACGGACGGTAACGGCAGGGAAACGAAACTGCACCGAATATTATTATCACTGCAGCGGTTAACGGGCGTTTGACTCGATTTAGACGAAAACATTCGTGTTGTTGGTGACAGTTCGACATGCATCTACATCAAGCTTTGTGCGCGTTCTAGGTAAGACATGCACGCTTCTAATTTATGTTGGAAAATGGCTGAACATAAACAGCTAAAAGCGCCCACGTCTTTGTAAGGATTTCTACTTTTATACTACACGCGATAAACAGCAGCAAGCTTTAGGAAATGAAAGTGAGTGGTGTGGGTTAGTAGTCATATGTTAGAGGAAGGTGTCAAAGTCGAGCCTCGTTCACACACACACACTCTTGTCAGCGGGTTCATGGTGCAGGTTGATGCACTCGCCGCTAGTTTGCGTCGATCCTGACGCTTTATTTTAGCATTTGACTACAAATAACATCCCAGCTAACGTTCTCAGAACTTTGGCTGACGTTCTAAACAGGTTCTTTCCGAGTTATAAACAAACGTTTTTCCTGAAACGTTAATAGAACGTTTGTTCTTGGTTATCTGGTATCAGAATGTTAACATTAAAACGTTGATTTTGAAAGTTTTTTTTTAAACCTTTTGACGTTTGTGTAAATGTTACTCCTTGTTTCAGAACGCTCAGAGAACATTCAAATGTAACATTCCCATATGTTTGCAGAATGATAACATGGAATGTTCTCTTATAATGTTCAAACTGGACGTTTTCGACATTCATAGAGCATTCAGAATTAACGTTTTATTAACTTAATGTCGATGTAAGCTAAATGCTGGATGCTGTTTTATTTGATTTCAACAAAATAGTTATTTATTCAAAGAGATTCTTATCTTCTAATAAAGGCTTAGTTCACCAAAAAATGAAAACTCAGTTTCCATGTCTTAAACTCTGTCATTCCAAACCCGGAAGACTTTCGTTCATCTTCAGAACACAAATAAAGATGCTGGACGACTCAACCTCACGGACAGTTTTTAATGTTTTATCAGACAATAACTACTCAAGATTTTGCTTTTGTATAATTTCCGGGACAATTAGGGCCGGATGTGGGACAACAGCTTAGATTTCGGGATTGTCCTGAATTTTTAGGCAGGACTGGTCACCCTTTGTTACGCAGCACGTTTGAGCTTCAGCAAGAACCAATGAGGTTCATTCTTGTGTTACGCAGCACTTTTGAGCTTCACAAGAACCAATGAGGTCCATTCTTGTGTTATGCAGCACGTTTGAACTTCAGCAAGAACCAATGAGGTTCATTCTTGTGTTACGAAGCACTTTTGAGCTTCGGCAAGAACCAATGAGGTTCATTCTTGTGTTACGCAGCACGTTTGAGCTTCAGCAAGAACCAATGAGGTTTATTCTTGTGTGACGAAGCACTTTTGAGCTTCAGCAAGAACCAATGAGGTTCATTCTTGTGTTACGTAAGCATGTTTGAGCTTCAGCAAGAACCAATGAGGTTCATTCTTGTGTTACGCAGCATGTTTGAGCTTCAGCAAGAACCAGTGAGGTCCATTCTTGTGTTACGAAGCACTTTTGAGCTTCGGCAAGAACCAATGAGGTTCATTCTTGTGTTACGTAAGCATGTTTGAGCTTCAGCAAGAACCAGTGAGGTCCATTCTTGTGTTACGAAGCACTTTTGAGCTTCGGCAAGAACCAATGAGGTTCATTCTTGTGTTACGCAGCATGTTTGAGCTTCAGCAAGAACCAGTGAGGTCCATTCTTGTGTTACGAAGCACTTTTGAGCTTCGGCAAGAACCAATGAGGTTCATTCTTGTGTTACGTAAGCATGTTTGAGCTTCAGCAAGAACCAGTGAGGTCCATTCTTGTGTTACGAAGCACTTTTGAGCTTCGGCAAGAACCAATGAGGTTCATTCTTGTGTTACGCAGCACGTTTGAGCTTCAGCAAGAACCAATGAGGTTTATTCTTATGTTACGCAGCACCTTTGAGCTTCACACGAACCAATGAGGTTCATTCTTGTGTTAGGCAGCACTTTTGAGCTTCAGCAAGAACCAATGAGGTTCATTCTTGTGTGACGAAGCACTTTTGAGCTTCAGCAAGAACCAATGAGGTTCATTCTTGTGTTACGTAAGCATGTTTGAGCTTCAGCAAGAACCAATGAGGTTCATTCTTGTGTTACGCAGCATGTTTGAGCTTCAGCAAGAACCAGTGAGGTCCATTCTTGTGTTACGAAGCACTTTTGAGCTTCAGCAAGAACCAATGAGGTTCATTATTGTGTTACGAAGCACTTTTGAGCTTCAGCAAGAACCAATGAGGTTCATTCTTGTGTGGCGAAGAACTTTTGAGCTTCACACGAACCAATGAGGTTCATTCTTTTGTTATGAAGAACTTTTGAGCTTCAGCAAGAACCAATGAGGTTCATTCTTGTGTTACGAAGCACTTTTGAGCTTCACACGAACCAATGAGGTCCATTCTTGTGTGACGAAGCACTTTTGAGCTTCAGCAAGAACCAATGAGGTTCATTCTTGTGTGACGAAGCACTTTTGAGCTTCAGCAAGAACCAATGAGGTTCATTCTTGTGTTACGCAACACATTTGAGCTTCAGCAAGAACCAATGAGGTTCATTCTTGTGTGACGAAGCACTTTTGAGCTTCACAAGAACCAATGAGGTTCATTCTTATGTTACGCAGCATGTTTGAGCTTCGGCAAGAACCAATGAGGTTCATTCTTGTGTGACGAAGCACTTTTGAGCTTCACACAAACCAATGAGGTTCATTCTTGTTCTGCAGCACTTTTGAGCTTCACAAGAACCAATGAGGTTCATTCTTATGTTACGCAGCACGTTTGAGCTTCGGCAAGAACCAATGAGGTTCATTCTTGTGTGACGAAGCACTTTTGAGCTTCACACGAACCAATGAGGTTCATTCTTGTGTTACGCAGCACGTTTGAGCTTCAGCAAGAACCAATGAGGTCCATTCTTGTGTGACGAAGCACTTTTGAGCTTCACACGAACCAATGAGGTTCATTCTTGTTACGAAGCACTTTTGAGCTTCACTCAAACCAATGAGGTTCATTCTTGTTCCGCAGCACTTTTGAGCTTCACAAGAACCAATGAGGTTCATTCTTGTGTTACGCAACACGTTTGAGCTTCAGCAAGAACCAATGAGGTTCATTCTTGTGTGACGAAGCACTTTTGAGCTTCACAGGAACCAATGAGGTTCATTCTTGTGTTATGCAGCATGTTTGAGCTTCAGCAAGAACCAATGAGGTTCATTCTTGTGTGACGAAGCACTTTTGAGCTTCACACGAACCAATGAGGTTCATTCTTGTTCCGCAGCACTTTTGAGCTTCACAAGAACCAATGAGGTTCTTTCTTTGTTACAAAGCACTTCTGAGCTTCACACTAACCAATGAGGTTCATTCTTGTTACAAAGCACTTTTGAGCTTCACAAGAACCAATGAGGTTCATTCTTGTGTTACGCAACACGTTTGAGCTTCACACGAACCAATGAGGTTCATTCTTGTGTTACGAAGCACTTTTTAGCTTCGGCAAGAACCAATGAGGTTCATTCTTGTGTTACGCAACACGTTTGAGCTTCGGCAAGAACCAATGAGGTTCATTCTTGTGTTACGAAGCACTTTTGAGCTTCACACGAACCAATGAGGTTAATTCTTGTGTTACACAGCACGTTTGAGCTTCAGCAAGAACCAATGAGGTTCATTCTTGTGTGACGAAGCACTTTTGAGCTTCACACGAACCAATGAGGTTCATTCTTGTTACGAAGCACTTTTGAGCTTCACAAGAACCAATGAGGTTAATTCTTGTGTTACGCAACACGTTTGAGCTTCGGCAAGAACCAATGAGGTTCATTCTCGTGTTACGCAGCACGTTTGAGCTTCAGCTAGAACCAATGAGGTTCATTCTTGTGTGACGAAGCACTTTTGAGCTTCACACGAACCAATGAGGTTCATTCTTGTATTACGCAGCACGTTTGAGCTTCACACGAACCAATGAGGTTCATTCTTGTGTGACGCAGCACTTTTGAGCTTCACACGAACCAATGAGGTTCATTCTTGTTACGCAGCACTTTTGAGCTTCAGCAAGAACCAATGAGGTTCATTCTTATGTTACTTAGAACGTTTGAACTTCACAAGAACCAATGAGGTTCATTCTTGTGTGACGAAGCACTTTTGAGCTTCACACGAACCAATGAGGTTCATTCTTGTTACGCAGCACTTTTGAGCTTCACAAGAACCAATGAGGTTCATTCTTATGTTACGCAGCACGTTTGAGCTTCGGCAAGAACCAATGAGGTTCATTCTTGTGTGACGAAGCACTTTTGAGCTTCACACAAACCAATGAGGTTCATTCTTGTTCCGCAGCACTTTTGAGCTTCACAAGAACCAATGAGGTTCATTCTTATGTTACGCAGCACGTTTGAGCTTCGGCAAGAACCAATGAGGTTCATTCTTGTGTGACGAAGCACTTTTGAGCTTCACACGAACCAATGAGGTTCATTCTTGTGTTACGCAACACGTTTGAGCTTCACACGAACCAATGAGGTTCATTCTTGTGTTACGAAGCACTTTTTAGCTTCGGCAAGAACCAATGAGGTTCATTCTTGTGTTACGCAACACGTTTGAGCTTCGGCAAGAACCAATGAGGTTCATTCTTGTGTTACGAAGCACTTTTGAGCTTCACACGAACCAATGAGGTTAATTCTTGTGTTACGCAGCACGTTTGAGCTTCAGCAAGAACCAATGAGGTTCATTCTTGTGTGACGAAGCACTTTTGAGCTTCACACGAACCAATGAGGTTCATTCTTGTTACGAAGCACTTTTGAGCTTCACAAGAACCAATGAGGTTAATTCTTGTGTTACGCAACACGTTTGAGCTTCGGCAAGAACCAATGAGGTTCATTCTTGTGTTACGCAGCACGTTTGAGCTTCAGCAAGAACCAATGAGGTTCATTCTTGTGTGACGAAGCACTTTTGAGCTTCACACGAGCCAATGAGGTTCATTCTTGTATTACGCAGCACGTTTGAGCTTCACACGAACCAATGAGGTTCATTCTTGTGTGACGCAGCACTTTTGAGCTTCACACGAACCAATGAGGTTCATTCTTGTTACGCAGCACTTTTGAGCTTCAGCAAGAACCAATGAGGTTCATTCTTATGTTACGCAGAACGTTTGAACTTCACAAGAACCAATGAGGTTCATTCTTGTGTGACGAAGCACTTTTGAGCTTCACACGAACCAATGAGGTTCATTCTTGTTACGCAGCACTTTTGAGCTTCACAAGAACCAATGAGGTTCATTCTTATGTTACGCAGCACGTTTGAGCTTCGGCAAGAACCAATGAGGTTCATTCTTGTGTGACGAAGCACTTTTGAGCTTCACACAAACCAATGAGGTTCATTCTTGTTCCGCAGCACTTTTGAGCTTCACAAGAACCAATGAGGTTCATTCTTATGTTACGCAGCACGTTTGAGCTTCGGCAAGAACCAATGAGGTTCATTCTTGTGTGACGAAGCACTTTTGAGCTTCACACGAACCAATGAGGTTCATTCTTGTGTTACGCAACACGTTTGAGCTTCACACGAACCAATGAGGTTCATTCTTGTGTTACGAAGCACTTTTTAGCTTCGGCAAGAACCAATGAGGTTCATTCTTGTGTTACGCAACACGTTTGAGCTTCGGCAAGAACCAATGAGGTTCATTCTTGTGTTACGAAGCACTTTTGAGCTTCACACGAACCAATGAGGTTAATTCTTGTGTTACGCAGCACGTTTGAGCTTCAGCAAGAACCAATGAGGTTCATTCTTGTGTGACGAAGCACTTTTGAGCTTCACACGAACCAATGAGGTTCATTCTTGTTACGAAGCACTTTTGAGCTTCACAAGAACCAATGAGGTTAATTCTTGTGTTACGCAACACGTTTGAGCTTCGGCAAGAACCAATGAGGTTCATTCTCGTGTTACGCAGCACGTTTGAGCTTCAGCTAGAACCAATGAGGTTCATTCTTGTGTGACGAAGCACTTTTGAGCTTCACACGAACCAATGAGGTTCATTCTTGTATTACGCAGCACGTTTGAGCTTCACACGAACCAATGAGGTTCATTCTTGTGTGACGCAGCACTTTTGAGCTTCACACGAACCAATGAGGTTCATTCTTGTTACGCAGCACTTTTGAGCTTCAGCAAGAACCAATGAGGTTCATTCTTATGTTACTTAGAACGTTTGAACTTCACAAGAACCAATGAGGTTCATTCTTGTGTGACGAAGCACTTTTGAGCTTCACACGAACCAATGAGGTTCATTCTTGTTACGCAGCACTTTTGAGCTTCACAAGAACCAATGAGGTTCATTCTTATGTTACGCAGCACGTTTGAGCTTCGGCAAGAACCAATGAGGTTCATTCTTGTGTGACGAAGCACTTTTGAGCTTCACACAAACCAATGAGGTTCATTCTTGTTCCGCAGCACTTTTGAGCTTCACAAGAACCAATGAGGTTCATTCTTATGTTACGCAGCACGTTTGAGCTTCGGCAAGAACCAATGAGGTTCATTCTTGTGTGACGAAGCACTTTTGAGCTTCACACGAACCAATGAGGTTCATTCTTGTGTTACGCAACACGTTTGAGCTTCACACGAACCAATGAGGTTCATTCTTGTGTTACGAAGCACTTTTTAGCTTCGGCAAGAACCAATGAGGTTCATTCTTGTGTTACGCAACACGTTTGAGCTTCGGCAAGAACCAATGAGGTTCATTCTTGTGTTACGAAGCACTTTTGAGCTTCACACGAACCAATGAGGTTAATTCTTGTGTTACGCAGCACGTTTGAGCTTCAGCAAGAACCAATGAGGTTCATTCTTGTGTGACGAAGCACTTTTGAGCTTCACACGAACCAATGAGGTTCATTCTTGTTACGAAGCACTTTTGAGCTTCACAAGAACCAATGAGGTTAATTCTTGTGTTACGCAACACGTTTGAGCTTCGGCAAGAACCAATGAGGTTCATTCTTGTGTTACGCAGCACGTTTGAGCTTCAGCAAGAACCAATGAGGTTCATTCTTGTGTGACGAAGCACTTTTGAGCTTCACACGAGCCAATGAGGTTCATTCTTGTATTACGCAGCACGTTTGAGCTTCACACGAACCAATGAGGTTCATTCTTGTGTGACGCAGCACTTTTGAGCTTCACACGAACCAATGAGGTTCATTCTTGTTACGCAGCACTTTTGAGCTTCAGCAAGAACCAATGAGGTTCATTCTTATGTTACGCAGAACGTTTGAACTTCACAAGAACCAATGAGGTTCATTCTTGTGTGACGAAGCACTTTTGAGCTTCACACGAACCAATGAGGTTCATTCTTGTTACGCAGCACTTTTGAGCTTCACAAGAACCAATGAGGTTCATTCTTATGTTACGCAGCACGTTTGAGCTTCGGCAAGAACCAATGAGGTTCATTCTTGTGTGACGAAGCACTTTTGAGCTTCACACAAACCAATGAGGTTCATTCTTGTTCCGCAGCACTTTTGAGCTTCACAAGAACCAATGAGGTTCATTCTTATGTTACGCAGCACGTTTGAGCTTCGGCAAGAACCAATGAGGTTCATTCTTGTGTGACGAAGCACTTTTGAGCTTCACACGAACCAATGAGGTTCATTCTTGTGTTACGCAACACGTTTGAGCTTCACACGAACCAATGAGGTTCATTCTTGTGTTACGAAGCACTTTTTAGCTTCGGCAAGAACCAATGAGGTTCATTCTTGTGTTACGCAACACGTTTGAGCTTCGGCAAGAACCAATGAGGTTCATTCTTGTGTTACGAAGCACTTTTGAGCTTCACACGAACCAATGAGGTTAATTCTTGTGTTACGCAGCACGTTTGAGCTTCAGCAAGAACCAATGAGGTTCATTCTTGTGTGACGAAGCACTTTTGAGCTTCACACGAACCAATGAGGTTCATTCTTGTTACGAAGCACTTTTGAGCTTCACAAGAACCAATGAGGTTAATTCTTGTGTTACGCAACACGTTTGAGCTTCGGCAAGAACCAATGAGGTTCATTCTTGTGTTACGCAGCACGTTTGAGCTTCAGCAAGAACCAATGAGGTTCATTCTTGTGTGACGAAGCACTTTTGAGCTTCACACGAGCCAATGAGGTTCATTCTTGTTACGCAGCACTTTTGAGCTTCAGCAAGAACCAATGAGGTTCATTCTTATGTTACGCAGAACGTTTGAACTTCACAAGAACCAATGAGGTTCATTCTTGTTACGCAGCACTTTTGAGCTTCGGCAAGAACCAATGAGGTCCATTCTTGTTTTACGAAGCAGGTTTGAGCTTCAGCAAGAACTTTATCACGCATCAAGGAGGTTCCGTTGAGCTTCTGTTTATTTTCGCAGATTAATGTTTATATGTGAATAAAAGCCTAAATGAAATCTGTTCATCATAAAAAGTGATCGAGTCTCTTAAAAAAATTTGACTAATCCGCTCAATTCAAATGGATTAGTTTTACGATCTCTTTATGAACTTTTTGAAGCGTCAAAGTGGTAGTTGCGTAGCTGTCAATGGAGGGACAGAAAGCTCTCAGATTTCATCAAAAAGATCTTCATTTGTGTTCTGAAGATGAACGGATGTCTTACGGTTTTTGATTGGAACGACATGAGGGTGAGTAATTAATGACAGAATTTTCATTTTTAGGTGAACCATCACTTTAAAAACTTCTAGGGAAACCTATTTTTCCACATTTATTTCAAAATTACATGATAAAAATATAATACATTGAGAAAGTTCATAAGTGATACTGGAATTTCAGATGTACTTTTATTTTGGAGACAATTTGCCACATATATACTGTATTTGACCATATATGTAACTATACATTTTCTTTGTCTGTATTACATAGTTACCAGAGACAATCATAATGGCAGACTTATATTCAGAGAGCTGTTTGGAGCCAGAGCTCACCTGTCCCATCTGTCTCCATCTCTTCCTCGACCCGGTCACTCTTCCTTGTGCTCACAGTTTCTGCCTGGTTTGCCTTGAAACACCTGATAGGGATAAAACATCTGGATCTGCTCAAGAACTTTGTTGCCCAGTATGTGGACAAGAACATCTCAGCCCAGAGTCCCTGCCGAGAAATGTCAAACTGAAACAAGTAGTTGAGAACTACAAGACCAACAGTGCTTTTGGTGAACTTCAGCCCAGCGCAGAAGACAAGATAACCAATGATGAACCATCTTCAGAAGACAGAACAAACTCTGATGAGTCCACATCAACAGATTGTGGGGAAAACTCTCTTGAGGAGACGGAAGCCGATGGACGGAGGTCTAGATTAAATCCCATTATAACTAGTCTTCAAAAAAAGCTTGCTCTAGTAGATGATCTGGTCAATAAAGAAACGGCTAGAGAAGCTGCAGTCAAAGCGGCACATGCTGATCTGAGGAACGATGTGAGCAACGTTCTGGAGGAGATGGCAGAGCTCCTGGAGACCTACAAAAAGACTGGAATGAAACTTTTGGAGGTTGAACTGAATCCCAGGGAAGACGCTGTTGGGAAAAGAGTGCAAATGCTATCAGATCTCCAAAAGCAACTGAGAACGGCTGAACTTCGGGTCAACGCGTTAATGGACGAGACGGAAGACGCGTGTTTTGGTGACGTCGAGAGCCAAGTTTCCAGCTTGACCGTGGAGCCTCTGTGGGACTTTCCGAGCAATCTGGAATTATCCCGCAATTTGAAAAAAGTCTGTGAGAAAATCGAGCACCAAAACAACCAACTCCGTCTTGGACTTGGATCTGCTCAGAGGGCTTTACGGGTCATTCTCAACCCATCCGAGGTGACATTCAACCTCGACACCATCCATCCCAATTTGGTCCTATCGGAAGACCTTAAAACCATGTCTTTTAGCGTCGCCAAACAGCCGTATCCAACCAGTTCTCAGAGGTTTACCAGTTTTTTCCAAGCTTTGAGCTCCCAGAGCTTCGTCCAAGGAGAGCATCTCTGGACCTTTCAAGCCGATGGTTGTCCATGGGTTCTGGCCGTGTGCTACGATGAACTTCCCCGATCCGGTTCTAGTAGTGGTCTGGAGAGCAGCGCTGGATCCTGGTGCCTCATGTACTGTGATAACCTTCTGAGGGCGTACGAAAAAGGAAAGGACACCCCACTTAGACGTACGCCATCTCTGAAGAGAATGGAGATACACCTCAGCTTCAGCTCTGGCACTTTAGCGTTTTACAGCGTTAGTGACGTGAGTGGGGATAAAACTCATCTGCATACCTTTACAGTGAGCTTTACGCACCCGGTGTATCTGGCCGTGAGGATGATGTCTGGTCAGCCCAAAGCTCACATAACAGTCAACTAGCTATTTCATACACCTTACAATGGACTAGTTATTGCAGATGGCATGTTTAAATCTACAAACTCTACAATCTCATCACCGCACACTGGTACTTATCGATAAAGTTTAGTGCACTGCATTACAGCTGTGTATTGGGAGATTATTTAAATGGCCATTAGAGTAAACCATTTGTTTCTGCACTACTTTCACCGTGTGCAAATATATTTTTTTAATTCATATTTGTCCTTTTCTGATGAAGTTATGATGCAATACGTCATTAATGTTCACCTCTTATGCACTGAATGCATCTTGCTGCACATAAATTGTCACGTGCATTCTGCCTGCAATGTTTAATTTAATCAAAGTTTGGTGTTTCTAGACTCATGTGATTCATTTGAGCATGTGACATTAATACAAGCCTACATTATATTTGCTTGCCAATTACAACAATTCTTCTCATTCTTTTTCTGTTCTTTTAACATGTTTATTAATACCTTTTTCTGTCTACATTTTAATAAACAGTAGTACTACATTTTTCTAATTATTTGCGTATTGTCTTTTTTCGAAACCCCAAAGATTATTAAGTGTTGTATGGGGATCTGTGTCGTCTTTTTAAAGCTATTTATATTGTTATTATCACCACAAAATATTGGTACTGATAAACAATAGATGTGTACGATGACAATTGTTTTTACTTTAATTAATAGGATTTAAACAATATATAACTAGTGCAAATCAAGGTTATATCAACACATTAAACAAAATATTAGGAGTGCAATATAAACTAAAGTAAAATTAAATCAAATAAAACAAAACCGATGTATTGTTTTCCGTGAGTCTTTTATTATGAAATGTCGCATTGATGGCGGCCATCTTTGAAACGACAACGCATTCACGCTGACTTTTATCTTGACAAACGAATCGCGACTGACGCATCAGTTTCGTTCCTCCTGTAAACAACAAACAACCGACACTCCGACTAAGGTTATTATGCCTCAACTAATAACCTATGATCACGTTAATGCTGAAACACACCAGCCTCTGATCTGAGATCATCTTCACTTAAAGGTGAGCTGTGTTTATGTGGTTTATTAGCTGATATATATATCCGTGCAGTGTGTGTGTGTGTGTGTGTGTGTGTGTGTGTGTGTGTGTGTGTGTGTGTGAGAATTGTGTCATATGATACATTCCAATATTAACATGACATTCGTGCAATACACATACGTAAATATTATAGTTCATTGAAGCTTTGAATTTGTATTTGGATCAGTGTGTGTTGTGTTAGACTGTGAGCTGTTATGTAACGTCATGTATCTTTAAAAACACAAACACATTCCAGCGGAGGAACTTTGTTACATTTGAAACATTCCAATCTCTTAGAAATATAACATTTTTTAAAAATACATTGATATTAAATGTCTATTTAAGGAACGATGAACAGCCATGAAATTATCTAAAGTGGGGCAGTGTTGTTTTGGTAATATTTATATACTATTATAGCATTTATGTGTATTTTTAATTAGTGTTTATTTTTATATTTTCCGTTTTTATTTTAGCTTTAGTGATTTTTTTTCTTTTCTTTTTTTGTGATTTTAGTTTTAAAAAGTTTTTTTGTTGTTTTTCCTATTTAGCTTCATTTTTATTTTAGTTTTTAGTGATTTTATTATTTGCCACGGCATTATTCAGAATTTCTGAAAGTACTTTATTTCATTTAAATGTGAAATTACTGTGTTTTCGACATAGTTGTGAATCTGATCTTGTCCATTTTAACATTAATAACTCTTATAAATATATGCTTTACATGCACATAAATGCTTTGCGTGCAATGCTTAACATATGTGTAAGTACGAGTGTAAACTGAGGTAGTTGTGTGTCTTGCAGAGGTGTAATCCAGAATGCTGGAGACCGTGACTGAATCGAGAAGGTTGGTCCATTATGGCAACACCAGTGTGTTTCCCACTGTGGAGAACAGCTCTCAGTTCAACCCTGACCATGAGATCAACATCACCAAACCACACAAGTGTCTGCAGATCCTGTACGACGACATCGGAGAGTCCAGGTAATGTCCTTTCATAAGTCTGTGCACATTTGCAAGTGTGTGTATGGCGTTATGATACATTTGCATTTTTGTCTTTGCTTTGGATTGTCTGTAATTGTCTGAAATCATGTAGTCCTATTTGCATAAAGCATACTTCCTAATTTCTAATCTATTTCTGTGTTGTAAAGTGAAGTGTGTGTGTGTGTGTATGTGTATGTTAAATAAGTGGTGAAGCTGACTAGTTTTCATCTGGGCGCTCTGCCATGTTTGCATGCCTGAAGAATGCAGTTTCTAGGCTCAGTTTTCTCACAGATGCAGATGATCTTGTGTAGGATCTGACAGTAGACGCTTGTGAAGCGTGTGAAATGTGATTTCGGTGTGGAGGCCGTTTGCAACACGACCTTTCAATTCTGCTTTCGTTTCTGTGCCAGGAACGGCTCTATCAAACGGGACTGTCCGCTGTATTTTTATTAAAAGTCCCTTCTGGTTCTGCTGGGACTGTTTTGTCTTCCTTTGAGGATATGTGTGTGTGTGTGTGTGTGTGTGTGTGTGTGTGTGTGTGTGTGTGTGTGTGTGTGTGTGTGTGTGTGTGTGTGTGTGTGTGTGTGTGTGTGTGTGTGTGTGTGTGTGTGTGTGTGTGTGTGTGTGTGTGTGTGTGTGTGTGTGTGTGTGTGTGTGTTAGTGACCGTCTTAAAGAGGCTCTCAGAGACTCCAGATGTTTGGTGCTTTGGTCAAGACAACTTCCTCTCCTTGTTTGTTAAAATCACACATCAGCAAATTAAATAGAAAGAAAAACAGTCGGCCTATTGTTTGGAATTTCCTTTTGTATCCGAGTAATGTTCTTGTAAACTTTAGAGGAGCTTTTAAAGCAGAAATTCTATTTTTTTTTTGTTTTATTTTTTTTAAAGAAAAGTGAGTTTAAAGTGGATCATTTCTTTTTAAAACTACAAATTAATATAGTGCACAAAAATCAACAATATTTTTTTATATGCAACTTTGACTAGATAATATTTTCGTGTTTTGTATTATACACTACTTTGTTTTCACAAGATTTGGGTCGGTAAGATTTATTAAATGTTTTCGAAAGAAAAACTTTTAAAATATTATTTCAAACTCAAAGAGCTGTTTTCTGTTTGAATATATTGTAAAATGTCATTTATTCCTGTGATTTTCTAATATCCTGATTTGCTGTTCAAAGACATTTCTTCTTATTATCAATGTTGATGACAACAGTTTTCAGGATTTTTTGATGAATAGATAGTCCAAAAGAAAAGAGCATTTATTAAAATAGAATCGTTTGTAACATTATAAATGTCTTTACTGTCACTTTTGACCAATTTAATGCATCCTTCCTGAATAAAAGTATTAATTTCTTTTAAAAATAAGGGTTAGGCTGTCCATAGTTCTCTCAAAACAGGTTAATACACAGAATTAGACATTTTGTAATAACACAGGAGATAAATATTAAATGAACAAATAATTCCATTATACCTTTCATTACATACAAGTTTGGTCTGTATATGTTTATTGTAAATTGAGATTTCTTCATCAAATAAAGCTTAAAATTACACTTTGTTGACTGCAGGAACTGTGAATACATATATGATTTTTTACTGATACGGAGAACAAGTTAAAGAGGAAAATTAGTCTGAATCCTAAGAATTATTTTTGACATTTCTATTCAACATTTGTATTAATTTTTATTCAATTATTCAAGGACATCACTTTCATCATGTCCTCTACAGAGATACACACATAATCAAATATTCAGTTACCAGGTGTATATGTGGGTAAATAGGTATTTTCCATCACAGCGTCAAAGTTGAAATTCCTGTTTTTGATGTGTGTGTGTGTGTGTTTGTGTGCTGATTCCTCTAGTCTAAAGGTGTTAAATGAACGCTGTCTTCACACTAGTCAAGCTTCTGTTGGAGACTCGTAACGGTTCGTCTCTGTTTGTCCGTCAGGGTTCGTTACTGGGATCTGATGCTGCTCATCCCGAACGTGGCGTTCCTGGTGTTCCTGGTGTGGAAACTTCCTTCTGCTCGCGCTAAGATCCGCCTGACCTCCAGCCCCATATTCGTGGCGTTTTACATACTGGTAAGCAGCAGAACATCTCGCACGACCCGAAACGGCAATGAGTTCTGTGACTGAATCCTCTAGTACTGATTTTTTAAAGGGATAGTTCACCCAAAAATGAAAAATTTGAAGCAAATGTCATAATTTGCTCATAGGATGACCAGACATCCCGAAAAATTCGGGACAGTCCTGAAATCTAAGCTGTTGTCCCAAATCCGGCCCTATTTGTCCCGAAAATTATACTAAAGCAAAATCTTGAGATAGTTATTGTCTGATTAAACATTTAAAACTGTCCGTGGAGGTCGAGTCGTCCGCCGGCTGCTCATTGGCTGCCGCATCTTTTTTGTTTCTTTTTTTGAAGTTCTACAAAAATACCGTAGGTGTGAATTTAGATATGCATTGATAAGCTAATTTTCATTCAAAATATGAATGGCTAAGAAAGGTCTGATTTACGCACTGTTACAACAGTCATTGTTTTGTTTTTCTTCACAATGACATGTGAGTTCATGATTTTAATGTTGTTTTTTTGTGGCAGACTAAAGACTAGTGACAGACTGTTGATCTTTGAATAAAAATATGTTTGGTTCAGGTTTGAAATTCATTATCTTTTATTATAGGCTATGTAGAATAATATCATAGTAGGCCACCCGTCCCCGTTCCCGTCCCGAATTTCAGCCAATCTCATCTGGTCACCCTATTTGCTCACCCTCACGTTGTTCCAAACCTGTATGAATTTCCGTCTTCTGTTGAACACAAAAGAAGATATTTTGAAGAATATCAGTGACCAGACAGTTGATGGACACCATAGTAGGAAAAACAATTATATGGAAGTCAATGGCTCCTTTTTTTTTTTTTTTTTTTTTTTTTTGCCAACATTCTTCAAAATATCTTCTTTTTTTACCAACATTCTTCAAAATATCTTCTTTTTTTACCAACATACTTCAAAATATCTTCTTTTTTTACCAACATTCTTCAAAATATCTTCTTTTTTTACCAACATTCTTCAAAATATCTTCTTTTTTTACCAACATACTTCAAAATATCTTCTTTTTTTACCAACATTCTTCAAAATATCTTCTTTTTTTACCAACATTCTTCAAAATATCTTCTTGTTTACCAACATTCGGTAACGCTTCCTTTTACAGGACAGTACTTACGTGTACTTACAGTGTACTTACCTAGAAAGTACTGGCTAATATAAGGTAAGTACATGGGTTAGGGGTAGGTTCAGGGTTAGTACCTAGTTATTATTACCCAGTAATTGTAATTACTATAATAAGTACATAGTATGTACATGGGTAACAGGACTGCAAAAGGAAGCGTTACCCAACATTCTTCAAAATATCTTCTTTTTTTACCAACATTCTTCAAAATTTTACCAACATTCTTAAAAAATATCTTCTTTTTTTACCAACATTCTTCAAAATATCTTCTTTTTACCAACATACTTCAAAAATATCTTCTTTTTTACCAACATACTTCAAAAATATCTTCTTTTTTACCAACATTCTTCAAAATATCTTATTTTGTGTTCAACAGAAGAAAGAATCTCATAAAGGTTTGGAAACACATGAGAGAGAGTGAATGGTGACAGAATTTTCTTTATTTGGGTGAACTATCCCTTTAAATCATGTGTGTTGTTGAGAAGTTTTCACCTGCTGCTCCATAAAACGTGTGAGAAAAGTTGATGAGTGTGTGTTTTCTGTCTCTCCGCACCTGTGTTGTGGGTTTGAGTGTTGTGCTCGTGGTCACGGGTGTTTCTCTCGTGTTGTTCAGGTGTTTGTGGTGGCGGCTGTAGGAATCACACGTGCAATAGTCTCCATGACCGTCAGCGCATCCATCGCCGCCACACTCATAGACAAGGTGAACATGCACAGCTGTCTTAATGTGGACTTCATATTGAGTTCGGTCAATCTGTAATTATTTACGGTACTGCATACATCCTTAAAGGAGTAGTTCACTTTTTAAAACACTTTTGCTGATAATTTACTCACCCCCATGTCATCCAAGATGTCCATGTCTTTCTTTCTTCAGTCGAAAAGAAATTAATGTTTTTGATGAAAACATTCCAGGATTTTTCTCCATATAATGGACTTCAATGGTAGCCAAACGGTTCAAGGTCTAAATGACCATTTCAGTGCAGCTTCAAAGGGCTTTAAACGATACCAGACGATGAATAAGGGTCTTATCTAGAGAAACGATCGGTCATTTCAAAAATAAATAAAAAAGTTAAAGTTTTATAGGCACAAATGCTCGTCTTGCGAACTCTCCTGTTCGTACTCGTTCAACGAGTCAATGACTCGAAAAAAGATTTGTTCGTTTTGATGAACGAGTCAATTACTCAAAAAAAGATTTGTTCATTTTGATGAACGAGTACGAACAGGAGAGTTCGCAAGGCGAGCATTTGTGCCTATAAAACTTTAACTTTTTTATTTATTTTTGAAATGACCGATCGTTTCTCTAGATAAGACCCTTATTCATCGTCTGGTATCGTTTAAAGCCCTTTGAAGCTGCACTGAAATGGTCATTTGGACCTTGAACCGTTTGGCTACCATTGAAGTCCATTATATGGAGAAAAATCCTGGAATGTTTTCATCAAAAACATTAATTTCTTTTCGACTGAAGAAAGAAAGACATGGATATCTTGGATGACATGGGGGTGAGTAAATTATCAGCAAAAGTTTTTTAAAAAGTGAACTACTCCTTTAAGAAGCAATTTGTGGACATGAAAATAAGTTTTGGGGGCGAATAATTTTTATCTAAGCTATGCTGTTGTGATTTCATTACATTCTGTTTTACAGGTTTAATGTATTTGACACACTACCATTCAAAAGTTTGGGGGTCCGAAAGATTATTTATACAGTGAGAAAGTAATACTTTTATTCAGCAAGAAACATTAAATTGATAGAAAGTGTCTGTAAAGACATTTATAATGTTACAAAAGAATTTCTTATAAATGCTGTTCTTTTGAACTTTCTATTCATTAGAGAATCCTGAAAAAAAAATGTATCACGGTTTCCACAGAAATATGAAGCAGAAAAACTGTTCTCAACATTGATAATAATCATAAATGTTTATTGAGCACCAAATCATCATATTAGAGTGATTTCTGAAGGATCATGTGACACTGAAGACTGGAGTAATGATGCTGAAAATTCAGCTTTGATCACAGGAATTAATTACACTTTACTGTATATTCACATAGAAAACAGTTATTTTAAATATTAATAATGATTAGACTGTATAATTATATGGTGACAAGTGATTGAAGGGACAGAAAGTTGAGTTGAAACAGAAAGTTATTACATTATAATGATGGATTATAAAACAAACATTCATTTCTTTAGAATACTGTGACTAATGAATGTTTCACAATCAGAGCCGGAACATGAATAAAGAGAGTAAATGTTTGGATTTAATGTATTTGGTTTGATGATGCTGTAGTGAACTGAATTGTGATGTGTTTCCGTGTGTGTGTGTGTGTGTGTTTGCAGGTGCTTTGGGAAATCACAAGGTTCTTTTTATTGGCTACTGAGCTCAGCGTCATCATCCTCGGATTGGCTTTTGGTGCGTTCCTGCTGTATTCTGGGATCTCTCATCTGTTTCTTATAAAAATCTACTTTTTTAAAGTGGCTGACTGTGATTTAAAGACATTTCCATGTTTTGTATTGTAACTTATTGTGCTGTGAGAGCATATTAAAATAGTGAATTTTTTTGTATGTGCTGCACTTCCTGTTAAAGTGACATGTTTTATGATTGTTTGTTCAGGCCATCTGGAGAGTAAGTCCAGCATCAAGCGTGTGTTGGCCATCACTGCGGTCCTGTCTCTGGCGTACTCCATCACACAGGTGTGTTATTGAGACATTTACTGCACCAAAAACCCTTTAGTGAACGTGAACGTATCCTTAAAGTGCCCCTATTATGCTTTTTCGGATATGACCTTACATGTAGTGTGTAATAAAGCTGTTTGTGAAAGTAAAAGCTCTGCAAAATTTAAGTGCAGATAAATTGAATTTTTGTCTACTAAAAGAAAGAAGTGATTCTGAACTGAAACGAGTCGTCAGTAATTCCAGTCTCACTTCCTAATTTGCATAATGCCAGCCTCTGGTCTTGATTGGCTGAACAGCTTCTCTTAGCCCCACCATCAATCACTGTAGTGTATCTGAGACTGGGAGAGTTTGGTTCGTGTTGTTCATGTCGAGAAGACGCTGTTTTCTGCTGACAAAGCAAATCCACTTTGATGAGATTGACACGGTAAAACCCACGTCATCGTTACTGTTCGTATCACTGTGATCAAGAGCTGAGATTCAGATATGATAATGAGCGTTTGCTTTCTGACCAATCAGAGCAGAGCAGCTCTCAGAGAGGCGGGGTTTAGAGAGACTGAATCTTCAATCGAAGCGTTTCAGACACTGAGAGAAAAGAGCTGATGCTGCAGTGGAGATTATGAGAAAATTAGTGGTTTTTGAACTTGGATGAATGTAAACCTGTTGTAGGAGACTCTAAAACACATTTAGGAGACTTTAAAATAGCATAATCAGGGCACTTTAACCCATTGTCATCTGTTCATCATGAGTTGGACGTTACTTCAGTAATGACTCTGTTACGCTGTGGTAAATTCACTGTAAATCATGCGGGTTATTGCTTTAATACAACATCTCTCGCTTTCTCAGGGGACTCTGGAGATTCGTTTCCCAGACAAACATCTCTCCGCCAAAGACTTCAACATCTACGGCCACGGCGGGCGGCACTTCTGGTTGGCCAGCTCCTGTTTCTTCTTCCTGGTACCTAATTAAGTTATTTTCCTTTCTTTTGAATCCTTTCTGAGTTTATATAATCAATAATTTATGTCATTCTGCGTTACAATCTGTTTTAGGTGTATTCCTTAATAGTCATTCTACCTAAAACTCCAATCAGAGAGAGAATCTCATTACCATGTGAGTAAAGGCCTCTGGTCACGTGTGTTCAGTGTTTGTCGTGCGGGAAAGGCGAATCATTCAGATGATGATGATGATGGTGTGGATGTATTTGTCGTTCTCAGCTAAGAGGGGTTTTTACGTGTACGCTGCGATCCTGTCCGTGTTGAATCTGGTCCAGGGTTTGGGAAGCGCGCTGCTCTGCGCTGACATCATCGAAGGCCTGTGGTGAGAGTTCATGTCTTTCTGTCAAACCTGTTCTCTATTTACTTTTTAGCACCCCAGTTAATACAAAGCTGTGAATTTAACTTATGCGCAAAATTAAAATTTTGCATAAAACATTTGTAAATAAAGCAGAGTTTCCATCCCATGTGTTCAAGAGAACAAAGTCATCACTTCCTGGGAAATTAGTGCAAATTATCATTAATAAAACTTATTAATGTTTCTGCAATCTTTCTCTTTTTCCCTCCATCATAAACGAGTGTGTGTCGAGCGTCAGACGAAACACAGTAAACGCTGTCGTGTTCTCTGGCGTTCGGATGCTGGTGTCCGGGAACACACTCGTGTGTGTGTGTGTGTGTGTGAGACGCTTCTGGAGGGAATTAAACCCAATCATTCTGATCACACACTTCCACTCCGGCGTTTCAGAAACACCAAACCAACATTAGAGACGCTGCGACGCCATTGGTCCGCTGGTTACTCCAGTTATCCAATCACAGCTGACGCTGAGGGAAAGTCACATGAGTTTATTTGTGCATCGAGGGATTTATTCAGTAAATGTGTTTCCATCGAGGTTTCTTCTTATCGGATAAAAAAATATTATTTTGTGCATTTTTAGAATTTATGCGCATCTTGGTGTTTCATCCAATTTTTTTTTTAATGCGATATCCCAAGTCACATAAAGATAGGTATTTTAAATTGGTATTTTAAAATGTATATTTCACAGTGTACTTGAAATAGTTAATTTTGCATACATCAAATTTCCTATGTTTAAATCTGGAATATTTGGCACTATGTCTTGCTCTCTAGATTTGAAAAATACATCTGAGTGAAGCCTCTTCTAATTTAATATAAAATCATTATTTTGTTAATATTATACTATCAGCATAATGAGTGAAAAGTTTGAGGAATGAACATGAATCTAAGAATGCCTTTGGTTTGTCTGATGATTTGAGAAAGCGGCAAAGATAGTAGAAATATTGACACTTAAAGTGCCCCAATTATGCTATTTTAAAGCTTCCTATTGTTGTTTAGACCTCCTAACACAGGTTTACATGCATCAAATGTTCAAAAACACTTTAATTTCCTCATAATCTCCACTGCAGCATCAGCTCTTTTCTCACAGTGTCTGAAACGCTTCCATTGAAGAGTCAGTCTCTCTAAACCCTGAATATCTGTAAAAGCATAATAGGAGAACTTATGGATTTAATATCGTTATATTATTTTTATATAATATAATGTTTTACCTTTTACGAATTGCTAAATATGTATGTCTGTCTATAACCTGATTCCTGATGAAAACAGCCTCTGTATTATGTGTAGTGACTGTGTCTCTGTGTGTTTGCAGCTGTGTGGACGCGACCACATTCCTGTACTTTTCCGTCTTTGCTCCTCTGATCTACGTGACGTTCCTCAAAGGATTCTTCGGGTATGTAGATCCTGCTTTGATTGATTCTGTCACAGGATATTACACGTCCATTCGCCCCCTGGACAGACTCATTCCTGTCATATTACCGCGCTTTAGTTCTGAATGCAGAACTGAGTAACTGTAGATGTATTTAGAGATGAGGTGAATCGGCTTCTGTGGTTTTCAACTTCCTTAAAATGCCATAGGATTATATTTTTTAATATAGCAACAACAGTCATTGAACTGGGGAAGTTATGAGTTGAGAATGTTTCTATATGCCAAATCAAACCTTGTATTTTAAAAGAGCACGAGTTTTGTGATTGTGGTGTTCCAGGTAAAAAATGACCAGTCTACTATAAATCTCTGGTTATGCTACATTATCACCAAATATTTGATTCATTCTTTTTGTCAACTAGTTTTCAGAACAGGTTTTATATTTATGTTTGAAACTGACTGATTGTAGGCCTCATTGATCTGAGCTTACATTGGTCAAAAATGACATTGAAAATGAACGAATAAGAAACGTTTAGTGTTCAGGAGCAAGTTCATCATGCTCTCGTATTTACATGTGTGTTTGCAACGATAAAGGCCTTGGACCTGTGCATGTGTGGATACATACTTACCACTCACGCACGCATTCACACACACATACAAACTCACTCACACGCACGCACTCACACAAATACACACTTGCACGCCCTCAAATGCATACACACTCACTCACCACTCACACACACACTTGCACTCACGCACGCACGAACTCACACGAATACACACTTGCACGCACTCGCATGCATACACACTCACGCACTCAAACACATGCATACGCACACTCACACATTCACACTCACGGACACGCTCACACTCATGCACACCCTCACACACTCTCAAGCACACGCATGCAGGCACACACACGCATACAAACACATTCACACTCACTCACGCACTCGTTCACGCACACTCACTCGCGGACACACACCGCACACACACGCACGCAGGCACACACACGCATCCACACACTCACACTTACGCACACACTCATTCACGCTCACTCACTCACACACCGCACACACTCGCACTCGAGCACACGCACGCAGGCACACACACGCATACACACACTCACGCATTCACACTTATGCACACACTCATTCACGCTCACTCACTCTCACACGCACACACACCGCGCACACACTCACTCTCGAGCACACGCAAGCAGGCACACACACGCATACAAACACATTCACACTCACTCACGCACTCGTTCACGCACACTCACTCACGGACACACACCGCACACACTCATTCACACTCACTCACACACCGCACACACTCACACTCGAGCACACGCACGCAGGCACACACACGCATCCACACACTCACACTTATGCACACACTCATTCACACTCACTCACACACCGCACACACTCACACTCGAGCACACGCACGCAGGCACACACACGCATACAAACACATTCACACTCACTCACGCACTCGTTCACGCACACTCACTCGCGGACACACACCGCACACACACGCACGCAGGCACACACACGCATCCACACACTCACACTTACGCACACACTCATTCACGCTCACTCACTCACACACCGCACACACTCACACTCGAGCACACGCACGCAGGCACACACACGCATACACACACTCACGCATTCACACTTATGCACACACTCATTCACGCTCACTCACTCTCACTCGCACACACACCGCGCACACACTCACTCTCGAGCACACGCAAGCAGGCACACACACGCATACAAACACATTCACACTCACTCACGCACTCGTTCACGCACACTCACTCACGGACACACACCGCACACACTCATTCACACTCACTCACTCACATACCGCACACACTCACACTCGAGCACACGCACGCAGGCACACACACGCATACACACACTCACACATTCACACTTATGCACACACTCATTCACGCTCACTCACTCACACACCGCACACACTCACACTCGAGCACACGCACGCAGGCACACACACGCATACACACACTCACACATTCACACTTATGCACACACTCATTCACGCTCACTCACTCTCACACGCACACACACCGCGCACACACTCACTCTCGAGCACACGCAAGCAGGCACACACACGCATACAAACACATTCACACTCACTCACGCACTCGTTCACGCACACTCACTCACGGACACACACCGCACACACTCATTCACACTCACTCACACACCGCACACACTCACACTCGAGCACACGCACGCAGGCACACACACGCATCCACACACTCACACTTATGCACACACTCATTCACGCTCACTCACTCACACACCGCACACACTCACACTCGAGCACACGCACGCAGGCACACACACGCATACACACACTCACACATTCACACTTATGCACACACTCATTCACGCTCACTCACTCTCACACGCACACACACCGCGCACACACTCACTCTCGAGCACACGCAAGCAGGCACACACACGCATACAAACACATTCACACTCACTCACGCACTCGTTCACGCACACTCACTCACGGACACACACCGCACACACTCATTCACACTCACTCACACACCGCACACACTCACACTCGAGCACACGCACGCAGGCACACACACGCATCCACACACTCACACTTATGCACACACTCATTCACGCTCACTCACTCATACACCGCACACACTCACACTCGAGCACACGCACGCAGGCACACACACGCATACACACACTCACACATTCACACTTATGCACACACTCATTCACGCTCACTCACTCTCACACGCACACACACCGCGCACACACTCACTCTCGAGCACACGCAAGCAGGCACACACATCCATACACACACTCACACTTATGCACACACTCATTCACGCACACTCACTCACGCACACACTCATTCACGCACACTCACTCACGCACACACTCATTCATGCACACTCACACAACAAAAACAAACAACTTGAAAAAAAGATTGAATCCAGTATTTGGTGAATATGTAGCATAACGAGCGATTTACAAGTAATTTTTAAAAGCCTGCTCATACATATAAGGGTATGAGGGGAATCCATTTAAGGGATATACGAGATGACGGCTGTTTTTCTGTGTGTAACGAACTTCCTTATTTCTCTCCAGTTCCGAGCCCAAAATCCTCTTCTCGTACAAGTCCCAGATCGACGAGCCGGAGGACTCAGACGTGCACCTGCCCAACACCTCGTCCTCGGGCCTGAGCCGCAGAGACCTGGACCACGGCTCGTACTCCAGCACGCAGATCGACGGCTCCGGCGCGTACCTGGACGACGTGGTGTCGGGCCCGTTCGGGGGAGCGCACAGCATCAACAGCATCGACAGCGACCGCTGGAGAGCCCTGAACGCATGACCTCTGACCTCCGGGACATTTGACCTGCTGCGGTTCAGTGCGTCATGTGAATTACAAATGGTTCTCAGTCAGTGCTGTTATTTAAACATATGTATTCCATGAATCCAACATTCCTTGTGTAACAACAGTGCTCTTAATTTTACATCTGTGTACTCAAAGCGAGTTTATTGGACTTTGTGAAGTGCATAACCTAATATATTTCTTCAGAAATGCTTTATGATCTTATCTCTAGGTGAGTTCAGACTGGATTAGCTAGATGTGCTACTGATGCCAACAAAGCATCTGCTCAGTTTTTGATGTTTCTTTTCTACCATTAGGGTTGTTTTGCACTGAAAGTCATTCATTTTGGTGCATGTTGTAATTTAAAGGCCTAAAATCTACCTTGACTTTGTTCATATGCTTTATATGCTGGGCGTTCATCTGTTTCTCAGTGCTATATCATAGTGTTTTCTTTTGATTTTTATTTATTTTAGTGATATGTTGAATTTCGTTTTAGCCTGTCATTAGATTTGGCCTCAGTTCTTAAGTTAAAGCTTAAATTGTGAGCTTGACCTTTGACCTTCTGTCTAACTGATAGTGAAAATTGAACTGGCTCGAGTCTGATTTATTATAACATCATTCCATGTGGGAGAAAAACTTGACAAAAAAGGACCGTACTGAGAAAGCATTTGACCCGCTTTATTTTATTTGATAAAAGTACTGCAACGTAACTATTTCTTGGTGCACAAAAAAACAAAAACAAAAACGCCAGCGTTTTTTTGGGGGGGAAAACACTATAATCATCTTCCATTAAATTTGGTCTGAGTAAAATGCTTGCTTCTTATTGCTTATTTCTTTTAATATGATTTGAGCATGAAGAAGAATGTATCTATTTAGAGATGTGTTTTGGATGCTCTGCTTTGGTGTGTTTTTTTTTTTTTTTACCACATCAGTAGAATTTAAGTAAATCAAATTAATTTTGCAGTTGTAATTTTTGCACTGCAATTCCACTGTAAGATAACTAATATTATCTGAAATTCAGTTCAAATTGTCATTTGCTCTTAAACTTCGCTCTGCCTGTTTATTTCATCTTCTGATTTTGTAGCCCACTAGTATAAGCATATCTCAAATATATTTTATAATTTAATCTTTTCTGAAATGCTCTCTAGCTGTACATTAGATGTATTTTAATCAGATGAACACTGAAGTCCAGCAAAAATACTTGAATGTCACAGTATTGTAACGTCTTGAATACTGAGCTTCACAGAGGACCGACCGAGGACTTTTATTTTGGAACATACTTTACAATGACGTGCTTTTCATAAGCAGGAACCATAGACATTATAAATATTATGTCTATGAGCAGGAACTATCAGATGCGAATAACGTTTTATTTTCAGATTATACCATTAATAAAAAAACGTTCAGACGTTTCGTCTACATTTTGACATTCCAGATGAATAAAGCAGTTACCATTCTGTGATCTGTGCCTTTATTTTTATGTCATTATATCGAAAATGCTTCACACACTGTCATCACGTGATGTCTATCAACTTCCCGACTCTTATTTATTTATTGCACGTTTCATTTAAGTGCTGTGTGAAGGAAATAAAGATATCAAAATGAATATGTCAATAAAATTTACCGTACGAAATAAAAACAGAAAATCTTGATAGGTAAAAGATACATTTAATGTAATAAAGAAACAATAAGAGCAAAAAGAAAGGAAAAAGTCTAAGCTTATTATTATTATTATTGGTGGAACATTACATTATAATAAAAATAAATGGCGAAATAAAGTGCATTTCTCACATTTTCTTTTTTCTGTAAATTTCTGTTTAATATAATATTTCACTACAATAATTTAAAAGGATAGTTCATGAAAATTCTGTCATTAATCACTCATGCCGTGCCAAATCCATAACGCGTAAGATCTTCGGAGCACAAATGAAGATATTTTTAATGAAATCTGAGAGAGAGAGCACACAATTTACTACTTTATTTACAAAATATGAATCTCTAACATTCAGGAGAGCACCACTACAAATGTGTGTTGTGTTGACGCGAGAGATGTTGCGTGAACGTGCTTTGGAGATTAATATTTTATAGGAGCGTGGTCAATTGTGTTATTTATTTATTTATTTGCACAAACATGGCACTCCATCGCCTTATAAAATTGAGGTTTAACCACTGGAGTCACATGGATTACTTTAATGTCTTTACTGCCTTTCTGGGGCTTGAAAGTGGTAGTTGTGTAACTGTCAATGGAGAGAGAAAAGCTCTCAGATTTCATTAAAAAGATCTTCATTTGTGTTTCGAAGATGAACAAAAGTCTTCGGACTTTGGAACAACGTGAGGGTGAGTAATAATGACAGAAATTTCGTTTTTGGGTGAACTATCTCTTTAAAAAAAAGTGTTGCCTTCTGGGGCACTTTCAATATTAACACATAAAATACGTGAATTATATGAGTAAAGTAAAAAGACGATAATCAACCAAACAAACAAAACAAATAAAAAAATATTTCGAGCTTTTTTTCTCTCACGATCTCTGTGCGACGTCACTGTATTTAATTTAACTACATTTCCCATGATTCATTTCGCGTCCACATCATGACGCATGATAAACTGTGATGCTTTTATCCGCGTGTAGAGGGACGCCGTGACCCTGAACTGATTCGGGGTGATATTTTAATATTTGTGGTGATTATGGGCGCCGCTGACAGCAGGAGCGGGTCTGTGTCTTATGGACTGGATGAACAGGACAAAGTCACGGTCCTGCAGGGAGTGAAGGTGACAGACTCATCATCATCATCACTACACACACACAGTTAGATCCTGATACTGTTATATGACTTTAATGGTATATGTGCGTTTATAAACAGAAGACTAATGTAACTGTCCGTGCTTCTGAGCTTCAGTGGCACTGAGAAAGTGGAAGTGTCGTTGGTTTGTGTGTGTGTGTGTGTGTGTGTGTCATTGGCTGCATTTATTCATGTGATATAGCGATTAAATCTGCTCATTTTACATGTTTGTTAATCATCAGTGCTGTATCATAGCTGTGCTGTGACATTGAGACCTACCGTAATATTATCTGCTCTCGCTCAAGGTCAAATGAATGACACAGAACAGTGAGACTGACTGATCTGTGAACAGTGTGTGTGTGTGTGTGAGAGAGAGAGAGAGAGAGAGAGAGAGAGAGAGAGAGAGAGAGAGAGAGAGAGAGAGAGAGAGAGAGAGAGAGAGAGAGAGAGAGAGAGAGAGAGAGAGAGAGAGAGAGAGAGAGAGAGAGAGAGTGTGTGTGTGAGAGAGAGAGAGATAGAGAGTGTGTGAGAGAGAGAGAGTGTGAGAGAGAGTGTGTGTGTGAGAGAGAGTGTGTGTGTGTAAGAGAGTCATACTTATCACATAAAAGTCGAAATTGTGGCATACTAAGTATTTACTTAATAAAAACAGTCTACTGTCTAGCCAAAAGCATACTAGAGTGAAAGTTTTAAAAAGTTTCTACACTTTTGTAAATGCACAGTTGTATTTAAAGTGATATTTGGAGGATCATTTATAATATTTTACGTGTGTGTGTGTGTGTGTGTGTGCTCTCAGCTGTCTGGTGATGTTCTTCAGCGGATGCGGGAGTCGGGATCTTCTCCAGGGAAACCAGCCTCACCCAAACCAGAGAGAGACACACCTGATCCAGGTACTGCTACTGCGACACACACACACACACACACACACACATTCATCTAACTACGACACACACGCACACACTCATCTCTCAGCGACACACTCATCTCGCTGCTGTGTTTCTGATGTTTCAGGAGCTTCCAGACCTTCTGCAGGAGAGACACCGGAGGAGCTTCGGAGACGGTGAGTGTGTGTGTGTGTGTGTTTCACAGCAGACATTCAGGTCTATCATAGCCTCTGCCATAATATATACTCCAACTCTGCTAAAAATCAGTCAATCGTGCGCTAATATATTTTAATAAATAATAATATATATATATATATATATTTATTTTTATCTCAATGGTTTCATTTTTTTATACTATATATATATATATATATACATATTTTTTCCTCCTTTATATATTAATTTAGAATCTATTCCTTTATATATTATTTTATATATATAGTATAAAAACATGAGATAAAAATATATACATTTTTATTAAAAATTAAATTTTTATTGTTTTTTTTTTCAATTATGCACATTTCTACCCAAATTCTCTTTCTAAATTCCAAATTCAGAATTTCTCTCTCTCTCTCTCTTTCTCTCTCTCTCTCTCTCTCTCTCTCTCTCTCTCTCTCTCTCTCTCTCTCTCTCTCTCTCTCTCTCTCTCTCTCTCTCTCTCTCTCTCTCTCTCTCTCTTTATATATATATATATATATATACACTCACCGGCCACTTTATTAGGTACACCTGTCCAACTGCTCGTTAACACTTAATTTCTAAGCAGCCAATCACATGGCGGCAACTCAGTGCATTTAGGCATGTAGACATGGTCAAGACAATCTCCTGCAGTTCAAACCGAGCATCAGTATGGGGAAGAAAGTTGATTTGAGTGACTTTGAACGTGGCATGATTGTTGGTGCCAGAAGGGCTGGTCTGAGTATTTCAGAAACTGCTAATCTACTGGGATTTTCACGCACAACCATCTCTAGGGTTTACAGAGAATGGTCCGAAAAAGAAAAAACATCCAGTGAGCGGCAGTTCTGTGGGCGGAAATGCCTTGTTGATGCCAGAGGTCAGAGGAGAATGGCCAGACTGGTTCGAGCTGATAGAAGGGCAACAGTGACTGAAATAACCACTCGTTACAACCGAGGTATGCAGCAAAGCATTTGTGAAGCCACAACACGCACAACCTTGAGGCGGATGGGCTACAACAGCAGAAGACTCCACCGGGTACCACTCATCTCCACTACAAATAGGAAAAAGAGGCTACAATTTGCAAGAGCTCACCAAAATTGAACAGTTGAAGACTGGAAAAATGTTGCCTGGTCTGATGAGTCTCGATTTCTGTTGAGACATTCAGATGGTAGAGTCAGAATTTGGCGTAAACAGAATGAGAACATGGAACCATCATGCCTTGTTACCACTGTGCAGGCTGGTGGTGGTGGTGTAATGGTGTGGGGGATGTTTTCCTGGCACACTTTAGGCCCCTTAGTGCCAATTGGGCATCGTTTAAATGCCACGGCCTACCTGAGCATTGTTTCTGACCATGTCCATCCCTTTATGGCCACCATGTACCCATCCTCTGATGGCTACTTCCACCATGTCACAAAGCTCTAATCATTTCAAATTGGTTTCTTGAACATGACAATGAGTTCACTGTACTAAAATGGCCTCCACAGTCACCAGATCTCAACCCAATAGAGCATCTTTGGGATGTGGTGGAACGGGAGATTCGCATCATGGATGTGCAGCCGACAAATCTGCGGCAACTGTGTGATGCCATCATGTCAATATGGACCAAACTCCCTGAGGAATGCTTCCAGCACCTTGTTGAATCTATGCCACGAAGAATTGAGGCAGTTCTGAAGGCAAAAGGGGGTCCAACCCGTTACTAGCATGGGGTACCTAATAAAGTGGCCGGTGAGTGTATATATATATATATATTTAGTATTATATTTTGCATTTTTATTTTGCAAAATATAATATAGTATTTTTATGTGCTTTTGTCATTTTAGTTTTTTTTTTATATTACTATTTAGGTTTTATTTCAGTATATGTTTTTCTGTATTTTCATTTAGTAATTTCAGCACTTATTTCAGTTAGTTGACATGGCAACATTTCTAATCTTCACAGTTTTTCATTTAATATTTAAAAATATATATATTTCAGCTTTACTTCATTTAACAAAAATGTTTTAATGGTTTTAGTTAGTGATAAAAACCCTGAAAAGCATCACATTTTAATACTACCATGATGCATAAATATTTGTCAGTTTAAATAATATATCATTAGTTATTATGTTCACGTAATGAGAATGAGATTATTGTGCATGATGTCAGTAGGTTTGCGTCTGAAATGTGACCTGTGTGTGTGTGTGTGTGTGTGTGTGTGTGTGTGTGTGTGTGTGCAGGTTCGAGCGTGAGCAGGCTCTGGTCCAGGAAGAGTTGACCCGGATCGCCCGTCGAGAGAGAGAGACAGCGATGGGAGACGACATGAGAGAGAAAGCAAACACACACCCGGACCGGCAGAAAACACACACCCTGGTGAGACACTCTTCTTCTGTCTCGGCTACACACACCAGCTGTGTTTCCAATCAAAGCTGGGAATTTAACTTGTGCACAAAATTTGAATATCGCATAAAACATGTGTGAATAAAAAGTTTCCATCCCATGTGTTCAAGAGAACAAAGTCATCACCTCCTGGGAAATTAGTGCTAATTATCATTAATAAAACTAAGTTTCTGCAATCTTTCTCTTTTTCCCTCCATCATAAACGAGTGTGTGTCGAGCGTCAGACGAAACACAGTAAACGCTGTCGTGTTCTCTGGCGTTCGGATGCTGGTGTTCGGGAACACACTCGTGTGTGTGTGTGTGTGTGTGAGACGCTTCTGGGGGGAATTAAACCCAATCATTCCGATCACACACTTCCACTCCGGCGTTTCAGAAACACCAAACCAACATTAGAGACGCTGCGACGCCATTGGTCCGCTGGTTACTCCAGTTATCCAATCACAGCTGACGCTGAGGGAAAGTTTCCGTCGTAGTTTATGTGCACGTCTTCTAAACGGATAAAAAATTAAACTCATTAATGCAGTTAATATATGTGCATTTGTAGAGTTTATGCACATCTTGGTGTTTCTATACAGTGTTTTTTATGCGATATCCCAAAACGCACATAAAAATAAGTGAGTGGAAACAAAACTCTGACACACACGAGTATCTTAACATGTTTTATTTCAGCAAATAATTTCTGATTTTACAAAGGAATATATTATATGAAGAACTTTCAAGTAAATATGATTTGTTTGTTTTCTCAGATCGAGATATGATTTGATTTTCTCTTGTTTTTGCATTTATCATATGTCCTCAGAATTCACATTTGCATGCTTTATGTTCCATTAAACTAATTTTAGATTTTTTAAAATATATTTTATATTTTAATAATGTTGCGGCTCCTGCACTTTGGAATGTGTTGCCATTATCTTTAAAATCCTCGTCAAGCATGGATATATTTAAAAAGCACTTGAAGACTTTATTTGATCAAGCTTATGGTGTTTGATGAGGTCTGAGAACTGTGAGTGATTTGTTGTTTGATTTTCTTGGTGTCATGTTTTAATGTTATTTTATGCTTCTATGTATTTTAGAGTTATTTACTTCTTATGGACAGCACTTTGATCCATTTTAAGTGCTTTATAAATAAAAATTGATTTATCTAAACATTAAAGTCATGTTTAAGTCCCACAAACACAAATAGTTCAAGTGTTTTGGTGAAGCATAAACCATGTTCATCTCCAGCCAGATCTTGTATTCTGTTATGATTAGTGTGCACTAGATGGCAGCAGTTTGATTTAATATTTCATATTCATATTTTCATATTGCTGTTTGAGGCCATGCTTGACATTTAATCGCAGTCATTTATAATAACCAGCCTTCATTAATAAATTAAACTTTTTTTCTTTTTTTTCTTACAATATTTTATTTTTGCGCTCTCTCTCTCTTTCAGTTAATTTTCTGTCAGCTGAAAAAGTCGTAATAAAAAGTTTACTTACAGTCATAATTGCCATTATCAATATGTCGAAATTATGAGATAAAAAGCTAAAATTATTAGTCTTTTATGTCATAATTTAGATTTTTTTAATCTCATCACTTACTCATATTTATGACTTCTTAACCCTTTATCTGCCCCACCAAGAAAAAGGCATTGAAAAAAATTGTGTTTGTATTTCTGATCTCTGTCGCTAGTTATCACACTCAATGTATTTTTTTAACAACTTTTTTTTATTATCGGCCTCTACCAAATGGTTGATGTGTCAATTTATGGTAAAGTACCGGAATTCATTCACATACTATGAAAATCAGAAAATATTAACTATAAGATGAATTTATTTAAAAACATAATCAAAATAAAATATTTTTGTATATTGAAATATTCAAAACTTCTTTGTTTATTGAAGTTTGCCATTTAATATTTTAGGTTTTTAGAAACTGTTGACTTCCATAGTAATTGTCAAAAAAAAAAAAAAAAAAACACCAACAAACAAATAAATACCAATCTCTTACAATTTTAGTAATGTTAGTACACCAGCATTTGGCATTTAAGAAGTAATCGCCTCTGATAATTATGATTTCCACACATTAATTCTATGAATTTATTATATTTACTTCAAAAAATATCTAAAAGTGGCAAAAAAAAAAAATACATACTTAAGAAGTTATTTCAGTCAGTGTATTCATGAAGAAATAACAATAGCAGTGTCATATTCATAGCTATGAATGATCAGAAGTTTATATTTCTCAGCAAATTTGTGTTTGTGACTGCAGAAATAGATGATCTGAAAACATTAGCTCAGCTTTTCTACGTTTACCATAACCTGACAAATCAACCTTTTGGTTGAGCACGTTTTTGAAAAATGATTAAAAACATACTAAAGTCTTTTTCATGGCACCAAGTAACATAATTTTGTAAAGTTAGGCCTCTTACAGTGTGATATGTCAAAAAAAAATATGCTTACCTTGCAAAATTTCACCAAGAACAGTTAATAGGAGTGATTTATGTGTTTCTGACATCATGATGCTGTGACGAGCTGTTGAGTGACACTGACATCTAGTGGATGTTTATGGCATAACAGCTCGCCAGACCTAGAGCTCAGCCTGAGTTACGGTAGGGTTAGGGTTAAGTTAGTGAAATGTGCCCAGTCATTTGGTCGAGCTGGCAGTTAAAGGGTGTCATAATAATGACTTAGTAAGTTAGCATTTCAACTATTTAAATTATAATTATGATTTACGTCAGCATTATTTTCTCCTTGTGTGGCAGAAATGGACTTTCCCATTATTTCTTTCAATGGGCTCTATGCACGGCGGTATTTCCGGTGAAGATCTAAGGATGCTGGATTACTTCCGCCGATCGTAGAGTCCAATGCTATACCGAGAATTTATATTGGTTTTTATACTCTATTGCTATACTAAAGAAACGTTAGTCACAAAAACAGACAAAACAGACACCCCTCGTTTTGTTTATGCTTCTTTGTTTATTATATTAAATAAACATAACTATATATAAAATTACATCTAAACGTAATAAAGTTTCGTTTCAAAGACGAGAGGACAGTAAATTTTGAAGACTCTGCCATAATCCCATTTTCCTCGCTTTTCCTCCGCTTTAAATCCATAGACAGTAAAAGAAAGACAGTTTAAATCTCCCCAACCGGAAACGCAAGAGCATCCTTGCATCAAACGCGGAAGTTATGCGTGCAAATAGCCCATTGCAGTCTGTTGTTTTTGGTGTTTGATTAAATCTCTCTGTCAGCTGACCTGCTTCTGATTATGATCATTCGATTCGAATTTATTTGTATTGCGCTTTTCACTATACATATTGTTCCAAAGCAGCTTTACAGAAAGTGCATTTCAGAAATGTACATAGAAAAAATACAGTTAGTTAATCATGTATTAATCATGTGTGCTAATCATCAGCATTCGTTATTATGAATCCTGTCCAAGTGTTTTTGTTCAATTAAAATTTGCAGAAATGATATCCAGTATAACTTTCTTTCTTTCTTTCTTTCTTTCTTTCTTTCTTTCTTTCTTTCTTTCTTTCTTTCTTTCTTTCTTTCTTTCTTTCTTTCTTTCTTTCTTTCTTTCTTTCTTTCTTTCTTTCTTTCTTTCTTCCTTCTGTATTATGTCCTCGTGATGCTCTGCTAGCCGGATGAGTTGAGTGTTCGGGTAAGCGTCTGTTAGCTGTATGTCTCAGTGTTATTTTACTGCATGTAAATATGACGACAGATTCGTCTGTCGTGAAACACAATATTCAACCATTTAGATGTTATGATGATTGGACTCTAAAATGACTGGTGGTTCAAATGAAAGGGATTGATTTAGTATTATTTAGCTAATATTATAGTATTTATTAATATTTTTTTATCGTGTGAGTGAGTGAGTGTATATGTGCGTGTGTCTGTCTGTGAGTGTATGTGCGTGTCTCTGTGTGTTTATATGTGTGTGTGTGTGTGTGTGTCTGTGAGTGTATGTGCGTGTCTCTGTGTTTATGTGTGTGTGTCTGTGCATGTGTGTGAGTGTGTGTCTGTGTGTGTGTGTGTGTCGTCACATCCATGCGCTGAGTGTGACACCCGTTGTAACTGCCAGCGTTAATGCAGGGAAGTGTACTTTGGCATGGCTGACTTTTGGCTACTACTTTTGACAATGTGTGTCTCTGTGTGTGGTATTGCTACTGTAAGTCTTCCAAATGTCATATGTATTTGTCTCAGAGGCATCAGATCATATTTGTGTAGTTGATGTGATTAAACACACACACACACAGTCACACACACATTATATGTGTATCATCTTATATGTGCAGCTGAAGTGTGCAATTTAATTCGGTCCCATCAGACTTAGTTTTTTTGTGTTATTTTACTTCATGTCAGTATAAAGGCCCTTGCACACTGAGTCCGAAATTTTCGCACGTTAAAAAATGAATACGACCTCACGTTATGTCAATCACGCCACTGAAACTTTCGTCCGTCAAAAAAAAAATCGAATCAAGTTCGATTTTTTTGTGTTTTTCGCATCCGTAGCAAGCAGTTTGAATGGTGTTTTTGACAATTCGGAGCCACCGAATCACGAATACGAGAAAACACATGCGAAAATTTCGGACTCAGTGTGCAAGAGCCTTAAGAGAGCTCCTATCTCTCATCACTCAGAGTTTGTGCAGATACGCCTGTGTTTCTCCTCTTTCTTTCTGCTACACTTTCTGTCATGTGTTCAGACACATCATCAGATCTTCATCATGCGCTGCTCATCCTCACTGCTTCAGTGTGTTTCATGTTTAAAGCGTGTGTGTGTTCTGTGTCGCTCAGGCCCGACAGCTGAAGAAGAAAGAAGACGAGCTCAAACATCTCGAGCAGTTTTACAAGGAGCAGCTGCAACTGATGGAGAAGAAGGTGTGTGTGGGTCACAAACACTGTGACGGCTTACATCTGAAGACTCGGGTTGGTCCATGTATGAACTTGTGTTTCATCACACATCATTTTTAACATATTTATGGTGATATTTACAAAATATGGCCTTCAGAAGTACAAACACAGACTGAAGAATCCACCAAACACACTGAATCTGAAACACACACACACATCTCGTGTCTTTGATGTTACTGTACGCGCTTCAGGCTGAAGATGTTTGTTCTCTCTGATGTCTTCATGCTCATATTAAATATAGCATTTATAAATACAACTGTTTGCATAAACTCGATAACAGAGGTGGTTAATATACGGCTTCTTCTGCTTCCTCTGATTAGTGATACGCCACTTTAGTGTGTGTGTGTGTGTGTGTGACCGTGATGTGGAGGGATGAACTGTGGGATGAATTCCAAATGTGTGATTTTCATGCTTTTGAAAGTTGTTTTAGATGATTTATTAATATTAACTGAAGAAGGAAAGAGAGAAAGTTTGAACTTGTTCATTTATTTGTCCAGCAGAAATCACAGCAACAGAAGATCAAATAAATACATTTTTATAAGAACTGAAAGGAAACATGTATTATAAAAAAATATATTTATTTTATATCAAAAGAACTCATAAACCATAAATAGTAAGCTGTAGAAGAACACATGTATTCAGTGCGGTAAAGAATGAGTCAGTGAAAGCATCAGATGACCTGAAGCGTCTGTAAAGCACATGGATTGAGCGGAAATGTTTTTAAATGTGCTTATTCTATTTAAAAAAAATTGTATACAACTTTATTTAACCATATGTATATACATTATATTTTAAAGGGGTCCTATTATGCCCTTTTACAAAGTCTTTTGATTTAGTTTTTTTGGGTGTAATAGAATAAGTTTTCATGCTTGATTGTTCAAAAAACACATTATGCCATTGCTGTCCAGGAGTAATTCGCTTTTGAAGTGGATTTACTTAATGTAAAGTTAACGAAAGTTATCATGAGGATTGTAATGTTTAAAGCTGATGTCTTAACAAATGTCAGTCGACCGGGAAGATTTTAAAAACGAGCCGTTCATTCAAAAATACACAAGATCGCTGTTAAAATATAGACAAAAGACAACGAGCGCAGCGCTGAAAAGGGGCGGGGCTACACGAGTGGCTGTTGAATGCTTGATTCTGATTGGTTGACGAGCGTTCCAAGATGTTCAGTTATTTTCAGGGAAACGCACGGCTAAAGTAGTTCCAGCAGGTTTTAACCGCATCACAGCTCCATATCACTTCGTCAAATGATTTCAGTTATTTTAGAAGTCAACAGCCGACAACAGCCAAAGAACCAAAACCCACAGCGACACTGAACAAGCAAATATATATAATAAACAATATGATAAAAATGACAAGTTATGTCCATGTTTTTTTGCCACAAAATTACGTTTTATGTTTGGAAAGCACATACTCTCTTTCTTAAGGAATTCCTGTTGTGCCAATATAATAATGAACATAACTTTTCAAGAAACTAATGACAATATAAATTGAAACTGAAAAAAAAAAAAAATCACTTTTTTTGTCTTCACTACATCTTAAATGTCCTGTGGTTTGACAAAGTATAGCTTTCAGCTAGTCTGGTCCATACAAATTAGAAGAACTATTGCAGTGCCCGTGCAAAATCAGTGTTTGTGTGTGTTTTTAGTAATTGTTGGTTTGGTGTGTTTGAGTGCTCATTGTTACACAGCAAAAGTTCAGTGACATTTTTATTTGTGCATGACTTGATGTTTATCTGACAGTGTTTATGTCAGAGTGTTTATTTTTAAACCACAACCTTCTAAACATCAACTAAACATCTTCAGTGCGTGCTTCTTTTACCGATATATTTACCATATCTTTAGCATTTCTAATCCAAACAACGTCAAACTCGGCACTGCACTTACTCGCGCCCGAAGCAAGACACTCGTCAGGTTTGAAATCCATCGGACTAACGGTTCGAGAGATATGCGAATAACAGACACACACACACACACACACACACAGACGTTACTGTAATTTATAGATAGATGTTTTGTTAAATGGATCATGAATTGAAAAATCTCATTTCCTTAGATATAAGATACTAGATAGTTGTCACATTATGACATCATGGTGCGACGAGCGACTCTCGCCAAAACTCTGGTTATAATCATTGGCTCTGTCCACACTCTTATTCACATCATGTTTGAACTGTTAGTTGTGATGAAAGCATTGGTGAGAGTGCAGGAATCGCCGAGATCACTGCATTGATGTCCGTCATCGTCTACAACACTCATCATTCAACCGGAGTAGATCGAAACATAATGCTATAATAAACACTTTTCACAATCAGTTCATCTCGACAGCTGTAAAAACAACAACAAAAAAACGGTCCACATGTAATACTGATGTCATATGCTGTTAGCCAATCACAGCAGTGGGTGTTTACAGTCTCACAGAAGACACACCCCTTCCAACAGAAGACACACCCCTCCCAACAGAAGCCACGCCCCTTCCAACAGAAGACACACCCCTTCCAACAGAAGACACACCCCTTCCAACAGAAGTCACGCCCCTTCCAACAGAAGACACACCCCTTCCAACAGAAGACACCCCTTCCAACAGAAGACACACCCCTTCCAACAGAAGACACACCCCTTCCAACAGAAGTCACGCCCCTTCCAACAGAAGACACGCCCCTTCCAACAGAAGACACACCCCTTTCAACAGAAGTCACCCCCCTTCCAACAGAAGACACACCCCTTCCAACAGAAGTCACGCCCCTTCCAACAGAAGACACACCCCTTCCAACAGAAGTCAGCCCCTTCCAACAGAAGACACACCCCTTCCAACAGAAGTCACGCCCCTTCCAACAGAAGACACACCCCTTCCAACAGAAGTCACGCCACTTCCAACAGAAGACACACCCCTTCCAACAGAAGTCACCCCCTTCCAACAGAAGACACACCCCTCCCAACAGAAGCCACGCCCCTTCCAACAGAAGACACACCCCTCCCAACAGAAGCCACGCCCCTTCCAACAGAAGACACACCCCTTCCAACAGAAGTCACGCCCCTTACAACAGAGGCTCAAATCCGCAGGAAAAATGCCTAAATTATGCCTAAAAAAATGTATGTAAAATCATACTAAGTGCACCACAGGAAACATTATAAAACAATGCAGTTCATGACCCCTTTACGGCTGAATGTGTGCATTACAGTCAGGATATCACTGTGTTTCATATCTATTTCAGAGCAGTGTGTGTTCAGCTGCTCTCGCTCTGAGACTTAACAGACTAGTTACGCTTTAGCTGTGCGCGCGTGTGTGTGTGTGTGTGTGTGTCTGAACAATTACACACAAATATAATATACACACTATCTGCAGTGCTCACATCATCTGAGCAGAAAAACACAAATAATGTAAACTTCCAATCGGTAAGATCTTTGACAATGTTTTTGAAAAAAGCCTCTTCTCACCAAGGCTGTATTTATTTAATCAGAAATACAGTAATATTGTAAAATATTATTACAATATAAACATATATATTTTCTATTTGAATGCATTTGAAAAGATAATTTATTCCTGTGAATTTTCAGGATTTTTTTATAAATGCATTTACTCTCTCTTTTGATCATCCTTGATGACTAAAAGTGTTCAAATATTTATCTTTTTAAAGAAAATGTAATGATTTGTGCTTAATTGTCAAGAAAAGAATTAAACTTTGCATCAAGTAAAGGACTGTTTTTAGGTTCATTAAAATATAAATTAGGAAAAATGAACTTCTGACTCAACCCGGGTCTGTTCATTAACCCACGGCAGATGAGGAGGTGTAGGAGACCTGTCATGCTTTGTGTCATTTCATCTGGTGACACACACACACACACACACACACCGAGTGGATGTTATGCTCTGCTCACACAGACACACACTCCTCCATTCCTGAAATCTTTTTTCTTTCTAAGTTTCTCTCTCTCCTGCTCTATTGAGGTGAGACCTGTAATCGGCTCTGGTCTGTCGTGTGTGTGTGTGTGTGTGTGTGTTACACTGCTGCAGTCTCTGTGTGTGTGATGCTTTAAATGACAGCTCACATTTGAAAGATTCAGCCTACACACACTAATCTGAAACGCTTTGGTTAAGCTCTCAAAGAGAAATCCTGAGCGTGACACAAATGCATCACACACACACACACACACTGATCCCACTGGCGTTCTCTTCTGCTCTTCACACTGTCATGTAATATTCATGTTCTTCATCTCAGAAAGCAAAAAGGGTTTGTGCTTCTCACTCTCAAGCATTTGCAAGAATAAAACTGAGTCAGCTTCTCGTGTTATCAGACTGATATCTGGACCGCACGTCTAATTTCTCTCATTATTATTCATACAGTCTGTCTCTGACTTGTTTTTAATCTTCCATACAGTAACAGCATGTAGTGGTTACTCGGTTATTTCCTGTAATGCTGCATGTAATCGAGACTGTTGATTGACAGCTGAGTGGGCGGGGCTTCACTGCAATAGAGCGCAACAGTCATGATGTCAAAGACCAGACATTTTCTCCTGTAAAAAAAATATTTTCATGATTTATCACAACTTTTTTCTTTTGTCAAATCAACTTCGATAATTAATGTGGTTCAGATAACATCATATTTTGAGTTTCTGTTGTTGATTAAACCAAAATCTCCTTTATTTTTATTAACTCAAATGTTTCATTTCAATGAACTCAAAATTTTAAGGGAACCAGGTAACTTACTTTTTTAATTCAAACCAACAAAAAATATTTAGTGTAAGGGGAATTGATTTTTTATGGTAACTTATCAATCACTAAAGACAGACCTGCTGTGAGCTGCGAGGTTTATTGATGGTATGCTTCATCATCAGTGCACATTAGTTCACTTATTTCTTAAACAGTCCTGAAAAACTACATTACCCATGATTCTGCAAACAAAATCTCCACCAATCAGGGAATCGAAACGAGCAAATTGCACCAGTTTCTCCCATGAAGCTCTGCAAATGCCATAATCCAGACAAGCCTTCTACACTTTAACCATTACTTTCTATTTTGATTATCATTTGCAGTGATTCATGGGATTGTAGTTCTTTCCCTCATTAAATGTTATGTACACCATCTTGCTCTTTGTCAGTTTTTCAACTACTTTTCGGTTCAAATCAGTGTTTGTAATGTTCGGAAGCTGGTTGGTTTGCTTTAACTAAACTAGATTATCTAATAAAAACATCATGCTTTTCGGCAAAGATGATTTGAAACAATGTGTATTTTGAAAAGCGCTGCACAAATAAATTTGACTTGGATAAGACACGGAAGCGTTTTAGCAGAGCTGCGAATCATCAGGTATTAATGAAGCGAGAAACGAGCAAATGAGCTGAGAATCAAAAGATGGAGCGATTGAGAGAGAAACGAGTGCGAAACCGTGGAGAATAAATGACATGAACATTATCTGAGCTTTAGTTTAGTTAGTTTATCCCATTAGACTCTAGAAGAGGGAATTATGGGATCTGTGAAACGTCTCATCTCTTATTATACTGTTAGTGAGGGATTTGAACAAACTTCTTAAAGTGATAGTTCACCTAAAAATGACTATTCTGTTATTGATTTCTCACAGATTTCTGATGCTTCCGTCTCTTCCATGTGCTAATTGTAGATTTAATAAGATAAGAGTTTAATTACTCCAGCTGAGATTGTAATTACACTGATAGATTGTAATCACTTGTAATCTAAGGAAGAAACCGATATTACACTGATAAACTCAACATGCTGTTTCTTATGCGTGTGAATGCGGCCAGACGGTCAGCGTTGCTGGGTTTCGTAATTGTGGTGTGAATGCCCGTTATACGTGTAAAAGGTTACGACGTCTGGCTGAGAGTTAACCTCGCTATGCTGAGCTCCTACACACACACTTTAAGAGAAATACATTGTGGGATTGGTTTAGAGAAGGCAACAGAAGCATGTGATGGAGAAAAAAATCTGTGATTTTGAATTTGCATGATAAATGTGGCAGAAAGTTCATGAATGCGCGTGTGTTTGGGACTGTAAATCAACGTTTGCTCAGTGTAAATGGAGGAAAACAAATGTAATATTTCTTGTGCATTACACGAATGACTAAACTCTCTCTCTCTCTCTCTGTGTGTGTGTGTGTGTGTGTAGAACACTGACTTCTATCAGCAGACGCTACACATGTACACGCAGGAGGCGGTGAAAGCAGAAGCCACTGTGAAGTGAGTAGACACAGTTTCACTATATCATACTATTTTTGTTTCTATTCATATTATATAAAAAGTATATAAAATTAATAATAATATATAACTTAATTTTACTAAGAGAACATTTTAGCCTTTAATTACTAATTTTTGTCTGTGAAAGAGCAGAAATATCAATATCAAACTCATCTTTTAAAGACTATAATGCTCTCAATGTGTCAAGTCCAGTGTAAATCCCCCGCAGTGTTGCGCCTGTGATTTGTTCTGTTCTTGAGCTGGTATTTAACACAGTTTAAAGTGCCCCTGTTATGCTATTGTTATGATATATCATATAAAAGCTCCTAATGTTGTTTAGAGTCTCCTACAACAGGTTTACATGCTTCAAAGATCAAAAACACAAATTTTCTCATAATCTCCACTGCAGCATCAGCTCTTTTCTCTCAGTGTCTGAAACGCTTCGATCGAAGATTCAGTCTCTCTAAACTCCGCCTCTCTGAGAGCTGCTCTGCACTGATTGGTCAGAAAGCAAACGCTCATTATCATATCTGAATCTCAGCTCTTGATCACAGTGATACGAACAGTAACGATGGCGTCGGTTTTACCGTGTCAATCTCATCAAAGTGGATTTGCTTTGTCAGCAGAAAGTAGCGTCTTCTCGACATGAACAACACGAACCAAACTCTCCCAGTCTCAGATACACTACAGTGATTGAGGGGCGGGGCTAAGAGACGCTGTTCAGCCAATCAAGAGCATTATGCAAATGAGTTCCAAACCTACGCAGGTTCATCAGGAAGAGAGACTGGAATTACTGACGACTCGTTTCAGTTGAGAATCACTTCTTTCACTTTGATCTTTGTAACTTTTCAGAGCTTTTACGTTCACAAACAGCTTTATTACACACTACATGAAAGGGAATATGTGAAAAAGCATAATATTGTCTCTAAGGTGATTTACTTATTAAGATTTTACAGTAGAGCAGTGATCATGAGTGCGGTAGTGATTGTTCTATAACTCATCCAGCAGTGTGTGTAGTATGTGAAGCCTGTGTTTATGTGTGTGTAAGAGTGTGTATTGCTCCTCAGGCCGGGTCACATGACGCCCGTGTGCGCTGAGCTGCAGTCACAGGTGTTGAGCTGCTACACACTGAACACACGACACACACTGCTCTGCTCACAGCTGGCCAGAGACTACATACACTGCATCAACTCCTGCAAGAAGGTACGCGTGCAAAATATTATTGTTATATGTACCGGATATAACATTAAAGGGACAGTCAACCAGTCATTAAATGGTTAAAAATAAACATGTCAACACTGACCAATCAGAATCAAGAATTCTAGAGCACGGCGTAATAATGTACAGTTGAAACGATGGATAACAGTTTAATTATTAATTATCTTGTAACCGGGCGTAGGAAAAAACGGTGGTAACACTTTACAATCATTTGTTAGCATTTATTAATCTCAGTTAATGTTAATCTCAGCATTTACTAAAGCATTTGTAAGATCAAAAGTTGTATCTGTTAATATTAGTTATTGCACTGTAGTTATATGAACATGACTAACATTAACAATGTTAGTAAATGCTATGAGAATATATTGTTCAGTGTTATGGCGCTTTTCCACTACACAGTACCAGCTCGCCTCGGCTCGGCTCGACTCGCCCCCCTTTGTTTGGTTTTCCACTGTGTAAAAGTTGTACCTGTACCTGCTTTCGGGTACTTTTTTTCGTACCACCTCCGGCGAGGTTAAGCGAGCTGAGGCGAGCTAAGCCGATACTAAAATGTGACGTGAAAACAATGCCGACTGCTGATTGGTCACAGAGAATCTGCGTCATCATTGCACGCGCCAGATGGAGTATCCAGAATAACCCCGCCATTTTTAAATAGTTTGGCCAGAGATAGTTACTAAACTTACTACTATTATTATGGCAACTCGGAAGAATACGCCGTGGTCAAACGAGGAGGTGCAGACATTCCTTTGTTTGGTTGCCGAAGAGAGGATCCAGCGAGAGCTTGATGGGGCAACGAGGAACGAAATGCGTCGCTATGACGACCGGGTACTATTTGTGGCGGTACTTTCTGCAATGGAAAACGGAGCGAAAAGCGAGCCGAGTCGAGGCGAGCCAAGGCGAGTCGAGCTGGTACTGGTAATGGAAAAGCGCCATTAGTTAATGAATGTCAACGAATGAGACAGTATTGTAAAGTGTTGCCAATTTGGTGTTTAAAATGTAAGAAATCAGTCATGATGATATTGCCAATTTTAGTGTAATCAGACTCATGCTGATAATAAAACAATATGTTAATACTGACCGATACTGATCATTTTTCCCTCCATTGTGTTACGGAGAGCTGGTTCATATTAAAACATGCCAGAGTCATTATCTCTGCAGGAAATAAGAAGTGGAGAACAGATCTATCTGTGTGTATGTGTGTGTGTGCGTACGTTATCTAAATAAGAAGTGTAGAACAGATCTGTGTGTGTGTGTGTCTGTGTGTGTGTGTCTGTGAGTGCGTGCGTGCGTGCGTAATTGTGTGTGTGTGTGCGTGCGTTATCTAAATAAGAAGTGTGGAACAGATCTGTGTGTGTGTGTGTGAGAGAGAGAGAGCATGTGCTGGTTATATGTTAATCTAAAGAGAAGAGTTGAGTGTCACATGAACACTTGAATTGATGAAGGATGTTTTATTGTGGAAATATAATAAACACTCGTTGACGTGTCGGTTTGTTCGTTCTCTGCAGAACTTGCTGGTGAACCACGGATGAAGAGGACGATTGATGCTGAAGAAGAGGAGCAGTGTTAGAAGACGTCCATCTAGATGCGTGTGTATGTGTGTGAGAGAGAGAGAGAGAGAGAGAGAGAGAGAGAGAGAGAGAGAGAGAGAGAGAGAGAGAGAGAGAGAGAGAGAGAGAGAGAGAGAGAGAGAGAGAGAGAGAGAGAGAGAGAGAGAGAGAGAGAGAGAGAGAGAGAGAGAGAGAGAGAGAGAGAGAGTCTGTGTGTGAGAGAGAGAGAGACACAGAGAGTGTGTGTGTGTGTGTGTGTGTGTGTGTGGATGTTATCAGAATGGTGTTGGTTTGTTGAGCTGATCTTCATTTACTGTGAGCAAATAAAGTCTCTTCTTCTCTGTTTATCTCTCCAGTCTCTCATTACTCTGTTAGCTCTCCACACAGTAAATGTTCGTCCGTCTGAAACTGTGTTTTCTGAAGGTCGTGCAGATGAATATGATGTTTCTGCATTATCAAGACAAAAAGCGTGTTTATGAGGAAATGCATTTTGCACAAGGAACATATAAATCACTAATATTTCACTATAGTAGATGTTTAATCAGTCTTGCACTGACATCAGTTTGCATCCAAAGTTGTGAATTTAATTTATGCACACAATTGGAATATCGCATTAAAAAAATTGAATAAAGCAGCGAATAAGCAATATAAGAATAAAGCAGCGTTTCCATCCCATGTATTCAAGAGAACAAAGTCGTCACTTCCTGGGAAATTAGTGCAAATTACCATTGATAAGACGAATTTGCTGCAATCCCTTTTCCCCTCCGTCATAAACGAGTGTGTGTCGAGCGTCAGACGAAACACAGTAAACGCTGTCGTGTTCTCTGGCGTTCGGATGCTGGTGTTCGGGAACACACTCGTGTGTGTGTGTGTGTGTGAGACGCTTCTGGAGGGAATTAAACCCAATCATTCCGATCACACACTTCCACTCCGGCGTTTCAGAAACACCAAACCAGAGACTGACCAAACCAACATTAGAGACGCTGCGACGCCATTGGTCCACTGGTTACTCCAGTTATCCAATCATTGCCTGAGGGAAAGTCACATTTATTTGTGCATTTATTGAGTTTATTTGTGCATCGAGGGATTTATTCAGTAAATGTGTTTCCGTCGTAGTTTATGTGCACGTCTTCTTATCAGATAAAAAATGTTGCGCCTCAATTGAGCATTTTCAGAGTTTATGTGCATCTTGCCGTGCATCCAGTGTTATTTATGCGATATCCCAAATTTTGCATAAAAATAATTGGATGAAACCGCGATCTTGTCAAATGGAGCAGTTGGCAGTGTTTTCTCTGACCTGCACAAACACAGGTTAGATTTCTGGAGATTCTCCATCATTTAAAGTCCACAGATTTTAAGAAGTGTTTTAATATTGGGGTTTTAAAAAGTCCCCCTGTAGTCAATAATTGTATCCCTTATAACTCATCTTTGATCACCAAAATTACATATTTAAATGTTTTTTCCTTGGGAAAAAAATTCTTCATGCCTCTAATTTCTTGAATGTAACACCCTTGGCTCATTCATGCGTGGTTCTATGAATATGCAAATGAGCCCCGCCTCCACTCACTCACTCAGCTCAGAGATCCACTGGTTGACGATCACTCGTTGATCTGATTGGTTACAAGGTCGTTTCTGACGTCAGAAACACCAGCGATTTCAACCCGTGTTTTTGAGACTGTCTTTGGTTCACTGCTAGCCTGACGTCGTCATACTCAGACTCTATGGGGCGTGTTTCAACCGAACCAGGAACTAAAATGCCTCTGCACTCGATTGGCTCGACAAATGCCTTCTCTGTTCCTCTTTTAAAATGAATGCGCTGTCTACATCTTCTATAACAGACGCGATGGCTGAATCTAAACATCTCAGTTCTCCAGAGCCGGCCATCTTTGTTGTAAACGAATTCAACCCAAGCTCTTTGGTGACGTGGATGATTACGTTACGGTTGATCATCTGTCCATCATCGTATAAAGCCCGCTCTGACAATTTGATTGGTCCGAACAGCTTTGGTTCGGGCATACTTGCTTCTCAACGGATCAAGTCCAGACCGAACTTCCCATCCTCAAATGTTGTGGGCGGGGCTAAGCTCGGCTGGCATCCAGGCTAGTTCACTGCAGTTTTAAGGAGAAAATACTCAGCAATGCTGTCGACTTATGAATTTACACATGGTTTGTCTTAAAACATATTAAAAACACCACATAGACATATAACAACATTACAAATGTATTTTCACCACAGGACTTTAACAGAGAATTTAACAGGGAGACTTCAAGCTGAGAAAAGCGTCTGGAGATCCAGTGAAATATGACACATCCATTCGCTTTGATAATTGAGTGTTTCATGAAGTTCAGAAATAGATGCATATCCTGCGAGAGGTGAAATCAGCGAGTAAATGATCCCTCAGGGATCAATAACGTCTCTCCATCGAGACGCCGGGATTCGAGTGGCGTGTGACTGGATTTTCATGCACTGCTTCTCTGAAACTCACACTTGTTTTATGAGGAGTGGATGCTGAGGAGAGGACGGTGGCCTGTGTGGTCGTCGTCATGGTAACGCTGGTGAAGATTACGGCTCAGAGAACGAGTCTGGCGTTCACCGTGTGCCGTATACATCTCCCATCACTAAATATCCATGTGTGAATCACAGAAAGAGAGCGTTAAACATTGATTCAAACAATATAGTTCAAGGAATATAGTTCACACGTGTGCCGTCTCTGACACTCGATACCAATATGTTTGCTGAGTCCTTATTAAAATAACTCCAGGGTATGAAACTGGTGTCTTGTTTGAAGTGGAATATTATAAGGGTCAAAAACACTAAGCAAGTAAAAGTCTTTCTCAGTAAATGTTGCCGTTTGTTTCATGTCTGATGAAAATCATGGATACACAAAATCTTAGTTGTTTACACTCAAAATTTCAACTTTGTTATAAGAGAAATCAAATTTGACAAAAACATTATGTGATTTGATTTTTGCTACATTTACTTTGTTATTCCAAGGATTCCCAAACGTTGTTTTTTTTGTCAGCAAACCACAGATTTTAAGCAGTTTTTTAAAACCCCAATATTAAAGTCCCCCTGTAGTCGATTATTTTTTAAGGAGTTTACTCAGCAATGCTGTCGACTTATGAATTTACACATGGTTTGTCTTAAAGCGTATTAAAAACACCACATAGACACATAAACATAAACTCATAAACACTCTTCAGTTCCCTCATGAAGCCCCGTTTGGGAAAACCATGATTTAAACATGAGCTTCAAACATACTGTGACTGGGTTGAAATAATACAACCATTTACTGTTAATAATGATAAATAACTATAGTGCTGATTTGACCATATAAATCTCAGTATTGGCGAAAACTAATGTGAATAATATATATTAACCCTGAGAATATAAATATACAGTTTCAGAGACTCTCGCTGATTTTCACCATCATTATGTGATCATAAAATGAACGGATTAAGTCCAGCATCTTTGTTGTTACACATTCATAATGGTAGTCAATGCACTTATGAGAATATATATCTGATTCACAGCATCAGTTGTACCGATGTTCACTCGATCTTATAGACTGATTAAACATGTTGATGTAATATCTGACATTTGGGACAGACAGCTGTTCTGCTGGAGATATTCATATTCATATATCATAGATCGTTTATCTCATCCAAAATATCATTTGAGCAGAGGAGGACTTTTATTTTATTACTCTCAGTATTATCAGTGAAACTGTCATTTCAACTGGGCTTGATTTAATGTAATATGAGATTTTGATTCAAATTTGTGGCACTTGTCTCACACACGTCATGTGTTCCTGAAGAGAGATCGAACAGCCTGAAGCTCAACAGACGCAAAGTGAACAAATGCAAATGAGTTGAGAGAAAGTTTCTCCGCAGCAGGTGCAAAATGCCTTCAAACCATGAGAAACTGCACAAATTGAGTTGCAGATCTACACACACACACACACACACAACACACACTCTCTCTCTCACACACACCACACTCTCTCTCTCTCTCTCACACACACACACACACACACACACACACACACACACACACACACACACACACACACACACACACACACACACACACTCTCTCTCTCACACACACACACACACACACGTCTGGATCGCTATCTTTGTGCGGACTCTCCAGAGACGTAATGGTTTTTATAATGTACAAACAGCATATTCTGTCCCACACTAACCCTACCCCTTAAACTACCCACACACACACACACACACACACACACGGCACTGCTGTTCTCAACACACCAGAACATCTGACAGAAGATTATTGAGAGATTTACAGATTCACAGACACTCTTTCGCTGTGTGTGTGTGTGTGTGTGCGTGCGAGTGTGTGTGTGTGCGAGTGTGTGTGTGCGCGCACGTGCGTGTGTGTGTGTGTGTGTGTCTGTGTGTGAGAGAGTGTGTTGTGTGTAAGTGTGTGCGAGTGTGTGTGTGTGTATGTGTGTAAATGTGTGTGTCCTGTATATTTAAGCACACACTGTGTTCATTATACCATTAGAAAATCAAATTCCTCTAATGTCTTTCAAAAGTCACTGTAATGATCCCAGATTTCCCCCGAAAACGAGATTGGCTTTTTACTTTCTTTCAATGTCCCTTTTAAACACTTTTTTAAACACTGTGTGTGTGTGTGTGTGTGTGTGTGTGTGTGTGTGTGTGTGTGTGTGTGTGTGTGTGTGTGTGTGTGTGTGTGTGTGTGTGATGGAATCTCATTTCACAGCTCATTTAACACTCGCAGAAGCATATTCATGAAAATAAAGCCTCTCTGTGGTAATTTCATTGAGTTCGTGTTCCGCGCTCATTATGATGCTGTTTACTTGCTTTAGCATAATGTAAAATAATTGAATCCAAGTCTTTGCAATAACGAGTATTTGATGGTGAATAGTTTGTTCTGTTGCACGACTGGAGAAACACAGTTTGAGACTCGCTGAACTGTAATCTGCAGGAAATATCGTCCTTAATCACAGTTTGCCAAATCATAATGCAGATGCCAAACCGCAACACACTCTCATTCCAACAAACATGATCCAATTATT